ATTCTCAATGAACTGAACACAGTTGGAGCAAACTTTGGTGCCTTGTGTAGTGTCACCTTTTCATTCCTGGATTTAGCTGCAAGGGAGTAAGAAACTGCCTTCATTTCTGGAGTGATGGTGATCAGGCAGAGTCTGCACACAAACAGTTCGAGCTGCTCTGCTCTGCCTGCCTCTGTGCCCATGAGTGTGTGGAGAACTGCACTGAAAAATGGGTCCAATAAATTCCCTCAAAGCATGGTATTTTTCAGCTGACTGCTCTGCTGAGCCTCTGGAGAGATGGTTTTCCTGGTGTTAAAGGCAGTTTGTGGTGACCACACTTCTGATCCAAGCTCCTGTCCTTCACCTTCCCCTTCTCTCCTCACATCTTTGTCCATGGGTGCCAAGCAGGGTTCAGACATGGCCCAAATGACTTGTGTTGGCATAGCTGCAAGAATAAAATCCTGATTTTTGGCTATTGTCACAGAACAATTGTTGCTGCTGAGGGCTCAAGAGCAGCTAGAGCTGGGAATGGCTGTTTTTCAGACAGCTGAATAAATGCTCGGGGCAGCGCATAAATGTCATGGCGTGAAGATGTGGGGCACTTGGATTTGAAACGGCACAGAAGAACTTCTGAGAGAGCCTTCTGCCATTTCCAGGCCTTGGTGGGAGCTGCTGCCTGTCCTCTCGAGGTTCAGTGTCTGCACAGGGGTTGTGGGTGGGATGGGGAAGACAGGAGTGACTCAGTGTCCCCGTGAGTCACCCTGGTGCTCCGGGCAGGATCCCGACCCCGGGCCGGATGGGATGGGATGGGACGGGATGCTGTGTCACCAGCCTGGTGTAGCACCTGGGGCTGTGGATTCCACCTGCACAGAGTCCTGCAGTGCTTTCACTTGGAAAAGCCCTCTGAGACCATCTGGTCCAGCCTTGGGCAGTGCTCTGGAGCTGGGACCTTAACTCCATTGCAGACCCCAGCGAGGGCTGGTGGCACCATTTGTGCAGAGGTGATTCACAGCCAGCAGTGCTGTCTGAGCTACAAACAGGAGGAAAATTAAAAAAAAACCAGTGAATTTTAGTTTACTGCTGAGAAACTGTCTTGGGGCAGGAGCTTGGCTCAGCCCTGCTCATGCTTTAGGATTTGTGCTCCCAAGTTTGAGCAGTGGGGACTTTTCAGTGGGAATAAGCCTTTACTCCCAGCCTTGTGTGAATATTGGAATGAATGAGCCCAGGGGAGGTTGGAAGGAGATTGAGCAGAGTGCCGAGCACATGCTGGGAATAAAGAGCCCTTCAAAGCTGATGGTTCTGTCCAGGGGTGGGGGCGGGTGTTGAGCTGAACAAATTGTTCACTTTGGCTTCTTTGCAGGCAGAAATGTTACGATCAGCTAATGAGATTGTTCTCGAGCCTTGTGGGGTTTTCTCTTCCTCCCTCAGAGTCGTCATGAGAGTGGGTTTGGCAGAGCTTTAACTCTTGCTCCACACACTGATCTGGTTTTGCATTGATCCAAAAAATGATAATAATGAAGTTTGGTGAGCTGAAGAATGAATGTGAAGAATATACAGGGACAGGAGCAAAGTGGAAAATAGCAGCTGAATTGGTTGTCTTACTGAAGAAAGGTCCCATCCTGTACCCTCTGGGCTCTGTCCCAGTGCCAGGATGAGGCTCCTCTGTGGGAAGGGCTGAAATATTCCCAGTCTGCCTCTGGAAGGTGAGGGAGGCTGAGCTGGGAGAAGTCTCACATCACTGTCTTGTGATTTCCTCTGTCCAAAGCTGTGCAGGAAAGAGGAGAGTGAATCCAGCGTGGCCTCTGCACTGGAAGGTGACTGCATTCCAGGGGACAGCAGAGCCCCTGGGAATGCGCCAGTACACAGTGGAGGAGGGGAACCATCTGGGAAGTGCCTGGAAAGCTGGAGGTTATTGCCTCATGTTGTGGCATTAGTCTGTGAGTGTCCGAGCTCTGGGAGCTGCCCTGGGCTGTGCCACCTCCTGGCATCAGTGCCAAAGGCATCTCTGGTTCCAGTGAACCCTCCCGTGGCTGTCCCAGCTCTCAGCCTGCTTGGCTGCCTGCACAGCTCCTCAGTGTTTCTGTGTTGACCTGTTATTCCTCATTGAACATCAAGATGATTTGGGTTTGCTCAAGTGCTTGGAGTGGCAGAAACAATCTCCCTCCAGACCCTGTTTCAGCCTCCCTCCAGGCTGTTTCTCATTCATTCTGCTCATTCCTAGAGGTGGATCTGATAATGTAGCTCCCCTCCAGCCTGTAATTTTTTTCTGCTCTGAAATCATCAGTTCCAGCTCCATTTTTCTGTGCTGCTCCATGTCATTACCAGGATGGTTTGGCAGCAGCTGGTGGGCCTGCTCTGCTCACTTTGCAGCTGGGCCTTTAGTAGGGCAGTCTCCTGGTGAAAAATCAGTCTGCTGATCTCTAATTCCCTCCGTTTGCTGGGGCTGTCTGTGTCTGCCTGGTTGGAATTCAGCTGCATGGACTCAGCAGAAAGCAGCGTGGGCGGATGAGCTGCCTGAGGGACTTGGAACTGAGACTGAGATTGGATATTGGGGAGAAATCCTTTCCTGGGAGGGTGGGCAGGCCCTGGCACAGGGTGCCCAAAGCAGCTGTGGCTGCCCCTGCATCCCTGGCAGTGCCCAAGGCCAGGTGGGACAGGGCTGAGAGCAGCTGGGACAGTGGGAGATGCCCCTGCCATGGCAGGGGATGGAACTAAGCAATCCCTGTGCCCTGTGCCAGGGTGTAACCACCCTCACAGGGAGGAATTTCTTCCCAATATCCAATCTAACCCTTCCCTCTATCACTTATAAAGCCATTCCCCCTTGTCCTATCACTGTGTGTCCTTGTGAAAAGTCCCTCTCCATTTTCCTTGTAGGCTCTGTTCAGATTTAGACAGAAAGGAGAGGATTTTCAGGGTTTTCCTCTCCCCCAGAGCAAGTGGAGGTTTCACATCCCCTGTGGTCACTGCAGGACATCACACTGTGTGTTGTGTGCATGGTTGCTCCTTTCTAAAGCTAGACAAGAAAAGAATCATTTTCACAAATGCTCGTAGAGGCATTAAAGCTGAGGAATATCCGTGGGTCCTTGTCCCAGAGCTGATCCCCATGAGGGAACATCCATCCCGTGGTGTTGCTGCCAGCACCTCGCAGGGAAGGGTGGGACCGAGCTGGGAAAGGCTCAGTTCTAAATTTAGAGCCACTACGCTGGGTGCTGTTTTGGAAAGTGTGGCTGAGCCATCATTCTGCTCTTCCCCTCCTCCAGTGCTGCCGCAGGGTGTCAGAGGATGAAGTGTGCATTCCCGTGTTTCGCTTCCTTGGGGTTTTTTTTGGTTCAAATCCAGTGGGTTTTTCTGGGGTAGGATGTGTCCTGATTTTAAGGTGAGGAGCAGGTCTGCTGCTGCTTGTGTGCTGCCATGGCGCTTAAGAAACGAAATGGGTTTTAAACTATTCTTTTCATACTTAATCTCAGTTTCTGTGTAATCTGAGCAAAAGAATAGGCTGTATTTATCAGCACAGGCCAGTGTTCCAGCAGGCAGAGGTGCTTTGTAACGTTGGGAGAGGCAAACTTAGGGAATTGGCACTTTGGGTGTACTCTCAGCAGCATTCGATTCTAAAAACTTCCTTCTAAAAATTCCCAGGGCTCTGTGGCTCCCCAAAGAGCAAACTGCTGAAATCTGGGTTTACACAGGGAAGGACTTGAACCCCTGAAGGTGTTTGGGAGAAGGCTGGGAGGGCAGAAGGCAGTGGATGCTGTTGCCTCTTTTGTGGGAACGTGGCTTTGCAGGGACATCCAAGGGTCCAGCAGGAATATGGATAACGTGTCTTGTTCTAAAGGCAGGGGTTTCACTTGCAGTTTGAAGCAACCAACTCCTCCTTTTCAGGGTATTTCTATTAGTTGATTTGAAACTCGTAATAACCCCGGGACTTTTCTGTATTTATTTCATTTTTAGGCAAGTGCATTAGGTAGCAGTTATGCCTGAATCAGGTCAGAGGGCCAGGAGGTGCAGTTTTTTTGAAGAACTCAATGATTTCTGCTCCTTCCCATCTTTGCAGCTGGGGCTGCCTCAGTACAAAGCCTCATTTACCACGTGCTGCTTCTGCTGTCGTGGCTGGTTTCAGCTCTGAAATGGGTTAATCTCAGCAGAAGACTTTCTGGTTTGATTTTGGAGGAAACATCTGGACATTGCTGTGGCTCCCCTGCCCCACATGCTTTGCCTGGTTCAAAATTCCTGCACAGAAGGAGGGGGGGAGATGGGCAAAGGGAATTATTTTGTGATTAATTTCTTAATTGCTAAGCATCCAGATGTGGCAAAGGCTTTGTGCAGCAACATTGGATTTGTCAGCACTTTCTGCTGATGCTTTGTTTCCACACCATGTCAGGGTTTTCTTCCTTTCTGAGAAACCTTAATGTTTATCCACAGGAATCAGTGTGCTTAGGGTATATTTTCATGATACTGTGGCTTTTAACATGGAGAGTGGAGCTGTGGATTTATCCATTCCTCACCATCTCTGTGTTCCTGTCTGCCCTGGAGTGCAGCAATAGGGATTGAGGGTGGTTTGATGACATTTGATGTTATTTCCTGGCTACTTTATTTGCTTGGTCCATCCATCAGATGCAGAAATCAGGGTTGCTTTGCAGCACACCATTGCAGGGAGCAGCTTGTGCAAGCTTGGCCCTGTTCCTCTCCACCTTGCAAACCCCAGCAGTGGCGGTTGTGAACTTGTCACTGAGGTTTAATTGTGGCCACATGGTATGAGCTGTGTTCAGGTGGGTTTGGGGACCGGTGCCAGAGACTTTTTTTGAAGACTTGAGTCAGTGGGTGCCAACAGATGTTGGAATATTGCTCTGCAGACACACGGCCCTGGCAGCACATCTGTAATTCCTCAGTAGTTATTAGCAGCGGTGAGATGGTGTCAGTCCTGCCATCCAGAACGCAGCTTTTGCTCTGTTTGTCAGTTCTCCAGGATTTCTGCGTGCTGTGTAATTGAAATCCCCCTGAGAACAGGTGTGTGTGTGTTGCAGGAGGCGGAGGGCAGAGTGGAGGTGGGCAGCAGACCGCGCCGCCATCGTCAGCCGCTGGAACTGGCTCCAGGCCCACGTGTCAGACCTGGAGTACCGCATCCGGCAGCAGACGGACATCTACAAACAGATCAGAGCCAACAAGGTGAGGGGTGGGGATGGGGTGGGGCAGGGTGGGATGGGGCCAGGATGGGGCAGGAATGGAGCAGGAATGGGGATGGAGCGGGATGGGATGGGATGGAGCAGGATGGGATGGGATGGAGCAGGATGGGATGGAGCAGGGTGGGATGGGGCCAGGATGGGGCAGGGATGGGATGGGATGGGATGGAGCAGGATGGGATGGGATGGGATGGAGCAGGGTGGGATGGAGCAGAATGGAGCAGGAATGAAGGAGGGTGGAGTGGGATGGGGCAGGAATGGAGGAGGATGGAGTGGAATGGGGCAGGATGGAGCAGAACATGGAGGAGGCTGGGGCAGGAATGGAGTGGGATGGGGCAGGAATGGAACAGGATGGGATGGAGCAGGATGGAGTGAGATGGAGCAGGATAGGGCAGGATGGGACAGGAATGGAGGAGGATGGGGCAGGATGTAACAGGACAGGGCAGGAATGGAGTAGGATTGGGCAGGATGGAAAAGGAATGGAGCAGGATGGGGCAGGAATGGAGCAGGATAGGGCAGGATGGAAAAGGAATGGAGCAGGATGGGGCAGAATGGAGCAGGATGGAACAGGACAGGGCAGGGATGCAGCAGGATAGGGCAGGATGGGATGGGGCAGGATGGAGCAGGATGGAACAGGACAGGGCAGGATGGAAAAGGAATGGAGCAGGATCGAGCAGGATGGGGCAGAATGGAGCAGGATGGAACAGGACAGGGCAGGGATGGAGCAGGATCGAGCAGGATGTAACAGGACAGGGCAGGAATGGAGCAGGATAGGGCAGGATGGGATGGGGTAGGAGGCCTTTGGGCGCTGTGCTTCTGCTTTGCCTCCTGATGCCTCCCTCTGACACCAGAGAGTGCAGATGTGAAGTCTGATGCTTTTCCCTCCTGCCTCTCTCCCAAAGCAGATTGCAAAGCTGTGACTAATTCTAATGCAATTTGGCATGGGCTGAGTGTAATTCCTGTCCCTGGTTCAGTATGATAACGTGAAGGGAGCAATACCTTGCTTTAGAGTCAGTCTTTGGTGCTGTTGCATGTGTGATGCTGTTCCCCATCACTCAAGCCTTTCTCTCTGATATTTTTTTAAAACCTTCCCATTCTTTCTTTTTGGGAGTAGCTGAGGATGGGGATAAAAACAGCTGAGATTTAGTGGAAAAGGGAGTGGCCTGTGGAGGAAGTTAGTTCAGATGCTATCTGAACAGGCTTAAAATTGAGTCTGTTCCTTAAAAAAAGATCATTTTTTGGTGCTGACCTTTCTCTGTGGAAGGTATTTTTTTTTTAGCATTGCTCTCAGATGGTGGGAGAATGGGGGAGAGCAGAGAAGGGATGAGGAAGGGATTGTTATGGAGACTTGTTCAGGCATGCACATCTAAATGTCAGGCCTTGGAGGAAGGAATGTCTGGCGTTTGTGGCAAGAAGGCTCCTGGTATTGCATCAACTGAGAGATGCTCAGCAATTCAGGCTGGCAAACGCCTTTCCCAAGATGTGTGCTGCTCTGGGGTGGTGGGGAGAGGCTTCCAGGGGGTAGAAAGCAGGGCAGGGAGGCTGGACTTTGATGGGAGACTGGACTTTGATGCAGCTGCGCAGAACAACAGGCTTAATTGAGTGAGTGAGGGCTCTAAATGAGTAGGTGGAAGAGCACGGCTTGTGAGCAGAATCCATTACTGAGATTAGGGCAGAAGGCTTCTGGGAAGTGGGCAAATGAATGATTCTTCAGAAAGAATCATCTTCCTTGTGTCTTAGAGCTGGCAGTGCAGCATGGTTTTAAGTACAAAATGCAAAATAGCTGAAGGTGTATATGGTAGAAGTTAAGAAATGAGAAAACTCAGGTAATGATGGGGAAGGTTCAGGGCTTTCACCAGGTGATGGCAGCTTGACAGGCTCATGAAATGGCCTGATAATGGTTACAAACATCCCCTGGGCTTTTATAAGGCTGCAGCTTCAAGGTCTGAAAGAAGGTTCTGGCCAACAGGCTCATCTCTGATTTGTTCAAACCAAAACTCACCTGTGATACCCCAATACATGAATTTAAGATAAAACATGTTGCTTAAGGTGCAGGGGCATTCAGAAATTGAGTGTTTTGGGTAGTGGCTGTTCTGCCTGAAGAAGAAAAATCCAGAGCCATGAGTATCACATACCCCATCTCTGATGGGGCTTGCTGGAGATTATTCTTGCAGCCAGCTGTTGTTATCTTGATGTCATTGAGCTCTGGGATGTTGTAAAACAGATTCTGTTTGCACCAGTGAAAAACTACAGACCATCTTAAAAGGGCTTGGAACAAGAATAGGAGACTAGAGAAACAGCTCTGTGTTTCAGTAACACAGGAGCTTGTTGGAATGGATTTGGCTTCAAATTGTACAAGGAAAATAGTTAAAGAATTTGGAAACACCTTGTTTTTTCTATCAATATAACTTAACTCCAGCTGATTGGGCCATAAGGAGGTTAAAATGTAGCTGCTGCAGGAATTCAGAGTTCTACAAGTTCTAAAGTTCAGAGAAATTTTATTACGTTCTTTTTTTAGTTTAATTACCTTTATATGTTAGAGTTTACATCCCAGTGTACCCGTCAAGGAAGAGACATTGCTGTGTCAGATCAAAGCAAGGGAAGGACGAGGCAGTCAAAAATAACCCTGTGTTTTGAGGGTAAACTGCTGCCTGGGAGTCTCAGCAGGAATTGTGCTCTCAGCACATTCACATCAGCTCAGTTGGTGAGAAGGGGAGGAAAACACCAAATCAGGGAGCGTGTGCTCAGAGCTGTTTGTAGAATACCCTGTTTGCAGGCACTTAAAAATAGCAGGGAAGCCTTGTGGCTGTGTCCTCTCTGTAGATAACGTGCCCAGGTTCCCTCCAGGCTCACTTTGCTGTGACACACTGTGCAGCCTCCAGAACTGATGATCTGCCTGTTCTTGATCTGAGCAGCCCCTTCACAGTTCCTTCTTTGACCAGATGCTGCTCGCTGCGGCTTGTCCTTGTCCTGGGCTCTGTTTGATAGGTTCCATCAACTCCCTGATCCCTTGCACATTTTGCCCTGCTTTGTTATAATATAGCCCAGAATATGCATAATTACAATGATTTTATTTCACTTTGTGCTGTTCTGAGAGCAAAGCAGTCCTTCCTTTAGGTTAAGCTTCAGTGAAACAGGAACAGAACAGCATCTGTTAAACCTGATAAAACAATGCTCAGCCACTGTGCTTTGTCCCACCAAGTTTATAGCAATTTCTTTCTTTCCTTATTGAATTTTTGTAAATATCTCTTTTTTTGGGGGGCAGGGGGAAGTCTGCTGAGAGTAACAAGGTGGTTCATTTTCATCAGCAGCTCAGAATTGTTTGTTTGGCTGTGGCAATTTCCCCTCTGCAGGGGAGGGCAGGATGGGGACAGGCTGTGAGCTGGCTCCAGCCCTCTCTGAGTTCAGCTGAGATGCCAGGGAAGGCCAGGCAGCAGGGATTGGCTTTGGCATCACATCTGGAAGCCGTGATGGGAAGGAATTCAGCATGGGGGCGTGGGGGGCAGTGGGGATGCAGTTTCCCCGTGGACACCAAAGGATCTGCAGTTCATTGCTGTTCCTCTCTTGCAGGGGCTGATAGTTCTTGGTGAGGCTTCGCCCCCTGACCCTGCAGTAGATGATTCCTCCCGTCCTGTTAGAGCTGAGGTCAGGCTGGAGCCTGGGGCTGAGCGCCTGGTAAGTGCCGGTGTGGGGCTGAGTGCTCCAGTCTGGGGAGGGAGAGCTCATCCCTCAAGCTCTGGGGCACAGGGATGCTCAAACCATGGCACTGGCCTCATGAGCAGCTCCTCTCTGTGACTCCAGGTGGGAATCACTGATCTTGGTCGGCAGCTCACCCCCTCCTGTGTTGTTTTGGGGTTAATAAACAATAGGATTTAAACACCTTTTAGAACAGAGTTCCTGGGGGTATCTTTGTAATATGCATTAGCGTTTTGTGAAGCTTTAAAATCCTAACTAATCCGTTCCCTCCAGCAAAAAAAGTACCTCAAACTGAGAGCAGCATGATTAGCAAAGGCTGCTAAAGATGTGGCTATTTAATATCTGCCTGACCATCTGAGCATTCCCCCTTGGAAAGGGCACTAATGATTGCAGTGAGATGCACTGGAAACTATGCAGAGTGCCAGGTATTTATTATTTAATACAGAAATGTAGGGCACAGACTGAAGGCTTGATCATACTGTTCATCCTGCCTGTGATTGCTTTGGATCCTGGGGGATGCAGCAATGCATTAAAATGGAGGGTTTGCCACTTGTGGTCCCTGAAACTTGTGCAGGTTCTACTTGGCACTTTGTTGTGGCCACTCCTGCAGCCCTGTGTGCCTTCTTAGGAAGGAAAGGGTGTTTATTCCCCTTGCACAGGGACTCCCACATCACTGCACCCTCCCAGCTTGTCTGTGACGCTGCTGGAAGTGTCACCCCTGGAACCGCCGCCTCCGGCACCCAGCCCCTGGCTTTGTGCTTAATTAGGGCTGCTCATTAGGGCAGGCTGTTGACTCAGAGCCCTGATCTGCTCCAGCCAGAGATTACCCAGAGACTGAGGGCTCTTACTGGAAAGGGATCCTCCTGGGCCTTTCCTGGAGAGCTGCTTATCATTTTGGCACCCTCCAGGCCTTTCCCCCCAAACTGGCAGGGTTGGAGACACATGTGCAGCGTGGGGCAGAGGGAGGAATCCATCCTGTCTCATGCCCAGCTCCCCTGGATCTCCTCCTCCCGCGAGTGCCTCGGATCCGTGTCCTTGGGCATCGCCTTCCTACGTGGGATGGGGCTGATAATCCCCAGAGGAACTAATCCTATCACCAGTGGAGGGAAGGGCTTTGCTAATAAGGCCTGGGAATATCTTCTGGGAAATGGAAGCTCAGTGGGTGAATAAATAGTTTTGTCTGAAGATGGAAATGACATGAAGCCCTGAAGACATTACTTGGCTGTTGATTTTGGTTCCTTGGATTGCTTGTCTAGTGAGGGGCTGTGCTTGATATTGCCCCCTAATTAAATATTTCCAGTAATAGGTGAAGGTCTGAACCTGCCTGCTTTTGTTAGGGTTTTTTGGGAATACAGGGGGCATTCCTGGTGTTGGCTCATGACCTGTCTGCACACAGCTGCTTTGCTGCCCTGATGTACAACAGCAGATGTGCTACAATGGCATCTTCACACCCTCCAAAGGGATCCAAAGGACCTGGACTTGCAGACCCAAAGCTCATAGAGGAGCTCAGTCAGGAGCAGGGTGTGACCCTGGTGGCTGTGGATGCTGCTCTGGATCCCAGGCAGCCCTGGAGGACAGCACAGCCCTGAGAGGTGCACCAGGAGCTGGCCAAGAGTGAGAGTGCAGGAGGTGTTGGCTCTGCTCGTGTGCTGGGTACACCCATCCCAGGGAGATAAAGGGAGCCTGGGCTGCTCCTGATAAATACACATTGGATTGATCTTTCCAGCTTCTCCACAGGAAGCTGAGTCCCCCTGTTCCTATCTTGAACCACCAAGACAGAGCAAACTCTTGGGGAAGAAGTTCCTCCTTTAAGACCCTTTCTGTAGAAGAAAATGAAGGATTTCAAAAGAGCTTATGAGTCATGAGTACCCGCCCTGCTGCACCAGGGGTGCCTCCAGCGGGTGTCACGTGGAGGCTCAGCCCTGCCAGGCCTCTGGAAAGCAGAGGGAAAGTGCTCAGCTCCTGCATGACTTCACCTGGCTGGGCTGCCGGGTTTACCTGATGTCTCAGGTGTGAGCTGATCTCGCTCCTCCGTCTCTCTGCGTGGCAGAGTTGGTCTCATCCTGTCTTTGCTCCCCCGTAGGAGAAACATCTCTTTTAGCAGAAGTGTAAAAACCCTTGCAAAGTTCCTCAAGCAGGCCCAGGCACAAGTTGTGTGAGTTGTTAAAAATGGCCCTTCCCTGGGTGACTCAGGTGTCTGCTCCTCTGGAAACCGTTCATCCAGCAGTGCCATGGCCTGGCTTTGTTGTTTATTGAGTTGGGGGGTGTTTGCTGGGGAGATTTAATCACCACAGTCCAGATGGGTTTGGGATGGAGTCAGGGCCAAGCAGGGGGCTTGGCTGACCATCTGTGTGGTGTCAGAGCTCTGTTTTGCCTTTTTTCTTGGTGCTTGAACCACTTCAGCACTGTGTGTGCTCAAAGGGGGAACCCCAGCGCGGGACAGGGCAGGGAGTGTAGGAAGTACCACACAGAGGAAGAAATGAAGTTTAACCCCAGGGAGGAGCGTGTCTGACACCAGAAACAGGGGGCTGCATGGGAGGGGCTGAAGGTGATGAATGCCAGAGGTTTGGACACACTGGTGGGCTGCAGGGTGGAGAGCAGGAATGTCACTGGTGTGAGGTACAAGGCCACTGTGTCCTTGGAGGCTTGGTGACAATCCTGCTGCTCCCTGCAGAGCCAGGGGGCTTGTGTTTCAGACCTCAGGCAGAAGGGATTGGGGAGCACAGTGTTTTTAACTCAATTTTTACTCACTTTGCTCTACCAAAAAGGTGTTTCCAGCTTTGTGTTTATGCAGCACTTTCAGAGTTACAGGCTCGCCCTGCTCCCATCCCAGCCCCACAGCCTGGGTTCACACTCATTTAAAACACTCCCTAAAATGCTGTTTGGACTCTGTTTGCACAGGTAGTAAGTTAAAATGCAAATTCAGTTTTGCAAGTCAGTTCCCCTCTCCCTCCCTCCCTGTTTTCCCCCAAAGTGCTTCGGCAGGAGCTTTCAGCCACATGGCTCAGAGCAGAAACCAAACTGCAGGAGAGACTGCAGAGCTTTACAGGTGGTGATGAACTTGTTTGCACCATGGAGACAAAATGCTAAAATCTCCTTAAAGCCCTCAGCCTTTCATGCTCCTGGTTGCCTGAGGGGAATTAAAGTCCTTTGGATCTTGCAATGAAAGAGCTGCCATGTATCCATCCTCTTGCTGTCCCTAAGATCTCCTTGTGTCCCTGCTCTCCTGTTCATACAGTGACTTCTGAACCCTGCTTTGAAGTCCTGTGTGGAAATCCATGGCTACAGTGCAGAATCCTCAACCAGAACCCAGTTACACTAATTGGTGGCTATTTAAGAAGCTTTTATTTATTTCTGTTTTTCTCACCCTTCCTTAGAGTGTGTCTGGATCCCAGCCCCTAGAAAGCTTGGGAATTTCTGCTGCAAATACTCCTGAATCCCATCCCACCAAGCCCTGTGGAGCACCAAGACCTGTCAATGGAGTTATTAACACGTAAGCTCTTGGATATTCTGGAAGAGTTTGCTTTTATGATCTTTGCAATGTCCCGTTGGAAGCCAGGCTGTAACTGGGTTGGTAATGGTACAGATGGGGTCTTTTTTCAAAAAAGTACAGTAGTAGATCATGCCTGGAAACATTTTGGAGGAGATTGCTTGCTTGAGGTTTTCTGCTGCATTGTTTTGCTGAAAATGGAATTAAACTGAGCTGTGTTTACATGAACAAGCCCTGCAGGCAGCTGTGCACTGAGCATGGGCAAAACTTGTTTCTTTATGAGTAGTTTTAATACATCTGCAAATTGTGTGATTCAAAGGTACTAATGCCCTGCTTGCAGAATTATCTGTAACCACTGACCCACTTTATTGGAGTTATGGAGGAATCCCGTTGATTTGGGGGGTAAAACTTCCTAAATTCTTCATTTCTCCAGGCTGCTTTTGTTGACAAAGTCTTGAAGTGGGTAAATGAAAACAAGTGAAAGACATTCCTTGATGCTACAGGGTTGAACCACTTGAAAACCCTTGAAAAACGTTGCACTTGTTCAGTGCCTTGAGGAGGCAGGGAAAAAGAGAGGGGAAAAGGGAAGGAGGAGGGAGGGAGGGAGGGATGGATCCTGCACGGATGTAATGCGAGCAGATCAAGGAGCCCGTGGCTGCAGCTGGAGCACTGCAGGCTGTAACAGAGCCCTTTGTATCCCTGTAGCCTTTGAACTGCACAGCCTTGGACCACAGGGCTTTAATGTTTTGCATTTTTAGAAATGAAACACTTGCAGAAGAGACATGAAAAGGTTCTGTAGATGAGGTGCTGCTGCGCTGGGATCTGCTCGGGGCACGGGGCATTGATGCCAGGGCTGCTGCAGCCTTTGTGCCTCGCAGAGGTTGATGTTAACTCTGCACCTTTCTGGGGTCACTACTGGGAGCTGGCACAGGTAGAGATCTCAAATATCCATCAGAACCAAGTTTACGTCAGGGTTAAATATTTTTTCTATAAAATTATATGTTCTCTGGCATTTAGACTCAGAAAACCTCTTGTCTAAAGATTCCCTAAATTCTCTTTCTGGAGGAAGCTGTATTCTAGGGTTAAAGCTGTTCTGGTCTAGAGTGGCTTTCAGTGCTGGTTTTTTTTGTTCAGAGCTTCCAAAGGTATTTGGTCAAAGGTTCAGTCGTGGGAGAGTGGAAGGTGACAGAAGTAAAAGCAAAAAACGGAGTTGCTTTAATAAAACCTGCTGTGCCATGAACTGCAGAGCTCTAAACTCAGCTTGGAGCGTTCGCTCGGGTGCAGACCACGAACCTGCTGTGTGAATAACTGGGGTTTTCCTGTTCTCCTCTCCTGTGGGGCAGTCTGCAGCCTGGCCTGGCAGAACACGCTCAGGGAGATGGCCAGGAGGCCGAGGAGCTGCTCCACAAGAGGCAGCGCCTGTCGCTGGTCCCCGCGGACGGGACGTGCGTGGCCGCTCGCACCCGCCCCGTCCTCAGCTGCAAGAAGCGGCGCCTCGTCCGACCCAGCACCATCATGCCCCTTTCCAAAAAGGTCAGTCGGGTCTTTTCTGCTCTTATTTGTCTTGTAAAGATGGAGAAAGCAACAGGAACGCAGAGCAGGACAGCAGGGCTGTAAAGGCTGTTGGAAAAACAAAGGAGAAGGTGGTAACGGGTTGGAAGATTTTTCTTTGCTGTCACTGGGGAGGGAAGATGCTGATCTTGTGTTTTCTTAAGCCAACCAACCTGAGGTGAACTCAAGGCCAGGTAGGTCAGTGTGGCACAGTCTGAGCAGGAGAAAGAAGCCCTGAGAAGTCAAGTATCAGGAAACCTTAACTCTGAGACAGGAATTAGCAAAGCCCCAGGAACTCATTGCTGCTGCTCAAGGGAAAACCACATTCATCCCAGGCATACGTGGGATGAATGCCCTGTCTCTTCCTGTTTTGTTTCCTTTATTACTATTTTTTATACTCCTCTCCCTAATGCAGAATTCATTCAATGGAAATGCAGTTTATTGCCTGCATGAAGAAGGGCCATGTTTAATTCTTTTTATTTTCTCTTAGGAATACCATAAACTGTCAGTTGGAGGGAAAATAGTGAGAAATGAAGGAAATAAGGATCTTTATTTGTGCATGCAGAACCATAATGGCAAAAATCCACTTACCTTTGAGACAAAGTGTTTCAAGTCTAACTTTCCCACAAGGGCTGGGGGGTTTTCACTCTGCGGATGTTTTAAAGAGAAGCTCCAAAAGCAGCATTTTTCTGAGCAAAATAGATTCTTCCTCAGCTGAGTCAGCTTTAACTGATCACTTATCTGCAGTTTTATCTGGGGTATTTCTGGGAGAACTCTGCAGTGATTACTTGCAAGATCTTCAGTGATTTGGAAGTTGCTGAACATTCTCGTGGTGGATGCTGCCTTGTGCACTCAGTGCTTGAAGAATTGGCTGTAAATTCTGTGTTAGATCTTTGTTGTTGTCATCATCAAATACATTTGGTAATCAGGGATGGTTCAGAAGAGCAGTTCCAGGGATGAAAGCAGCAGAGAGCAGGGGATTTCTGAGCCCTCCTCCAGTCATTCCAGAGACAGCTGAGTCATGGCCAAGTCGTGCTCCAGAAATACCATGTCCAGTTGCCTCCACTCCCCTGCCCAGCAGAAAGTGGCTGTGGATTGAACTTTGCCACCTGCATTGTGGAGGTTTTGATCTTGTAATGTTTTTATTGTTTTCCTCACAATTCAGTGCACAAATTTATGGGATTTTGTGCCCAGAGTTGGGGTCAGTCCTTCAGCTCACACCGGGGCAGAGTGGCAGGATTGCCTCTCTCCTTGCACAGCCATCCTGGTTAGAAAGCCCTGTGGGCTTAAACTTTATTATTTTTTATTGATTAATTAGTTCCCAGCAGTGGTATAGCCTGCTGATTCGTGCTCATTTTTGGATCCATCACAACCTCCACATCCTCTGGGCAGAACTTTCAGTGGCAGCAGCATAACTGCTCAGTTACCCCTTCCTCCTCTTCTCTGCATTTGCTTCTTGCATTTGCCCTCAGTGAATTACATTTGATTTATTTCAGATAATTTCTAGTAACTTGTAACCAGGAGTGGGTTTCCAGCTCTTTGCTTCAAGCAGCCCTTCCCAGTGTAGTGGTATTTGCTGTGGATATTCTCTCCCATCCTTCAAGTCATTCATGGAAATTATTTGAATAATTCTGACTCAGAACAGGCTTCTGCAGGATCCAGTTTGATCCATTCTTCCATTTTGGTGGAGAATCAGGGGTTGTTTTCTCTGCATGGAGTTTATATCCAGTTGTGTGTCTGCTTGCAGTGGTTTCACACAAATTAAGTCTTTATCAAGTCTATAAATCTGTGAATTGTGACTCTGTCCTGGATTAAGGAACAAGGTTGAGAACCACCTTTGTCACTCTGTAGATGTCCCTGCAAGTGTCAGCTCTTGGCATATAATGATGGCTCTGACCCACTGGAACTAAAAATGGCTTCTTTGCCCCTTCTCTGACAGCAGAATTGTGCTGCCTCATGGTTTTTATAAATGAGGTTTCAACCTAGATAAAATTAAACACTTTTAGTCAAATTTAGCAGCTGTTAAACTGTCTGTGCTGGTAAGTCGTAGTTTTCAGTTGTGTTTATGCAAAGTGAAAGCATCCTCTCGTGAGGCCAGACTAAATTAACACATTCTGTACAAGGTAGAAAAAAAAGGGTGTGTGTGTATATATATATATTTTTTTAAAAATTATTTATATATATAATAATTACCTATATTAATTATATTATCTATATATATATAAATTCTGTACAAGAGGAAGAAAAAGGGGGGTGTGTATGTGTGCATATATATATAGAAATTATATATATAAATTACATATTATATATATAATTAATTATATGTATACTTAATATCGAATACACTATATAATTAATATTGAATATACTATATACTATATATTGAATGTGCTATATATACTATATACTATTGAATACAATTAATATTGAATATACTATATAATTAGTATTGAATATATATAATTAATAGTGAATATACTATATAATTAATATTGAATATATAATATTAATATTGAGTATACTATATAATTAATATTGAATATATATAATTAATATTGAGTATACTATATAATTAATATTGAATATATATTATTAATATTGAATATACTATATATTATGCATAATAAGTATAATTTTAAACAATATTTTTAAAATGTCACATAACAGCAATTTAATATTATAAATAATTTTGACAATGTTTTAAAGTGTCGCATAGCAGCTATTTAATAATAAATTCTCGCCATTTATCTAGATAAATTTTCTAGATTTATTTCTAGATTTATTTATCTAAATAAATCTAGAAATAAAATGAATTTATTATATATTTATCGATAATCAAAGGTAGCTATAATCTATAAAATGCAGGTTTATTTTAGCTATTTAGTATGTATATACAGTATGTATTTATACGTACATGCAGAAGGAACATTAAAACCATAGTGAGCTGTCCCAGGGACCGTGTGCTGTCCCTGGGCTGGCTGTGACGTGTCCCTGTGTCCCCTCAGGCCCAGCGTGGCAGCCTGGCGCGCTGCAGCTGCGACGTGAACCCCTCGTGTGCCCTGTGTGGGAGCCGCAGCCCCGGCACGCTGGAGATCCAGTACGATGCCCCCCTGCTGGAGCGCCTCTCGCAGCTGGACTCCTGCATCCATCCTGTCCTGTCGTTCCCAGATGGTGAGCACGGCTCCTGCTGCCTCTGGGGAGGTGCAGATCTGCTGGGGCGCAGCCACGCCTGTTCATCTGCAGCTGGATTGGAGATGGGAGCCTTGACTAGATCAGGGGGGTCACACCCGGGCTCTGCTGAGTTTTGGGAATCTCAACCTGCAGCCTCACTTACAGCAGTGAAACCAAGGCCTGGGAGTGCTTCCTGGGACCTGCCTCTGGGGCTCTAAACCACTTGGGAAATATTTGCTTCCATGAATTTGTCCGTGTCTATAGAGTGATTTGTGGATTGGTTCGTCGCAGGAAATCCTTTTGAGCTCGTGAGGAATTGAAAATGGTCTTCCATGGTTCAGTGGGCACAGCAAGAAGGGATGTTCCTGTTAGGACACTCAGTTTGCTGTGTTACAGCTTCAGGGTTAATCAGCATTAAGAGAGGAATAATTAACCAGCCCTGACCGTGGGCTATTCACAAATTCCATGTGTAGGGACTTTTCCCAAGGGAAGAGTAGTTTCCAGAGTCTTCTTCAACTGGTGCTTTTATCAGGAGAGCTGGGAAATGATTGGATCACATGGTTCCTTGCCTTGGTGGGAGTTCATGGCTGCTTGGGGTGGGAAATTGTGGCTGCCCCATCCTTGGAAGTGCCCAAGGCCAGGCTGGGACAGTGGAAAGTGTCCCTGCCCCAGCCATTCTGGGATTCTCATGCTGGCAGGAAGGTGTGTGGCCTGGCTTCCCATGGAGGTGTCAAATGGTTGGTCTGGGATAAGTCACTGAGCTAATGTGTGTGCTTGGGTTTAAATTTCAGCTTTTCACAAACTTTTTGTGACAGTGGGAAATGCAGGGAGTGTCTGGGAGCAATTAGTGTGGCCTCTTTCATTAGCACTATATTTAAACCAGACTAAAATAGTAAATCGGGGCTATTTTTAGCTGGATCCCTCCCCTCCCAAAGACACAGCTCTGATCAGGAGTGCTCAAGGAGCTTAATGAACTCCTGAAGCAGGAATTTATTTTCTGATTTCACAGCACTTGTGATCCTCTGTAGTGCTAAATCAAATATCCTGGGAAATGGGGAGACAACCTGTTGGGTGCTATTGCAGCAGAGACACCAGGCAAATTATCCCATATTCTTCCCATTTTTAGAGCTCCCTGCAGCTGCCTCACAGGTAGAAGATCACTTCTGCCTGCATGACATTAAAAAACTTTGGATTTAAAACTCATTGGTGTAAAGCTTAAACACCTGTGCAGGAATACCCATTTTCTGGTACTGCTGACCTTTATTTATTCACTAATGCTTCAAGCAGTTGGCTAGGGTTGATTTTTGGGATGGGGGTGATTCCTGTCCTAGAGAAGAGCCAGGTAACGTGTTCAGGTGGGGAAATGGCAGTGCCTGGTGCTGTTGGTGTGCACTGAGGTGTCTCTGTGCACCTGTGGGGTGAACCCAGGGTGCTGCAGTGTGTGCAGGGCTCGCTGAGGGTTCCTGCTGCCCAGGGCACAGCTGTGAGCATGTGCTGACTTTCACTTTGAGCCGGCTCTGGGTGCCAGCCGGGATCTCCAGAGCAGTTTGCCAAGGGCAAAACTGCCAGGCACTGCAGGAGGAAAAGATCATTTATTCGCTTATTCCCCTGGCAAGCAGGACCCAGCCAGCGAGGCCTTGAACCCCTGTGCTTGTGCTCCCCCAGAGCTTTGTCCCCTTCCTTTCAGGGTGTGTGGGGTTTTTTGTTGGCTTTTTTTTTTTTTCTGGTTTGATTTCTCGCTGGGAATTTTTGGATGATGTAATAACCTTGGAGGGAGGATGAGCGCTGGGCTCACTGTGGTTGCCATCTGCTGGTCCCTGGGAGCCCTGCACTGCTTCCCGAGGAGCAGGGGGAGGAGGGATGCTGGCACTGCTGCCAAACCAGCAGAGAACTCCCTTCCTGCTGGCAGCGTTTTGTCCTGGCCTGCTCCCCCTCCCTTCAACCTGTCCCCTCCTTCCACAGATGGTGTGGGATGGGAGCTGGGAGGAGAAAGCAAAAGATGAGCAGAGAGCAGAGGCCATTTTCCCCAAGTCTGGCCATTGCAGCGGATGGCAGCCTCCAAAGGACTGGCCTGGCCCCTCTCTGGTTTTTGGGACATGTCCCCACAGGCCAGCAGTGATGGCCAGAGAACTGCCATCACCCTGTGACTGCCCTTCCTTAGCAAGGGGCTGGGTGGCAGCTTTAACCACCAGGGTACTTGGGATGGAGCTGTCCTGGCTTTTTCCAGGGAGCCAAGTCCCCCCCAGCTCCAGCCCATGCTCTGCCAGCTCCATCCTCTTTGCCTGCCTGGATCTGCTGGGGCTTTCCAGTCCCTGAAATTGGGAGAGAAATACTGGACAAGGGTTCAGCTACCAGCCAGGGGTTCCTCCTGCTCTTGGGGCCTCTCAGGTGTGGTCACACACAACTTCTCATGGCTGAGGTGCCACATCAGGCACATTTACATGCTGCAGTGCCTGGCTGGCTTCTGGCTTGACTTGAAATTGAGGATTTAGGCTGAATTTCTCTCTTCCAGCCCAGATTTGGTGCTGGGATACCTCCGATTCTTTGAGGTCAAATCTGAGGTAGCACCACATGAGATACCTACAGAAGTGAAGACACAGGAGTTTTCTGACTTAGAAAACTTTGCCAGGATATGCTTGGCCTGTGAATCCTGTAGGAATTTCACAAAGACCTGCAGATTAGAAATGTTGGGACCTATTGCAGGTCCTTCCTGAACGTGGGGAGAGTGTGAGGAGGCCTGGGTCTGACAATCTGTGCTTGCATGTTCATCAGGGGCTGTTCTTACTGGGAGGCTGATGGGACCACAGCTCTTTGTTGCACGGTTAATTTCAATTAATGCTCTGTCCCCCTGCAGATGTGCCGACGAGCCTGCACTTCCAGAGCATGTTGAAATCCCAGTGGCAGAACAAGCCCTACGAGAAAACTAAAGCTCCCAAGAAGCTGTCGCTGAAGCACAGAGCCCCCGTGCCCCCCAGCCTGGCTGACCCCGCGCGCAAGGACCGCCACAAGCTGGTCAACTCCTTCTTCACCGCGGCCAGTAAGTGCTGCCCCTGCCCCACGAGGAGGAGGAGGAGGAGGATGCCCTTCAGTCCCGCTCCCAGGGGTGAGGCAGGGCTATGGCAGGGCTGCAGGTGAGCTGTGTGCAGGTGCAGCTCAGCTTTGTAGGGACCTCCCCGTGCTCGGTGTCAGCCATGCCCACAGCAGTGCCACAGGTCTGAGCACACCTCCCCACAGCACCCCCGTGGTGTGGGCAAACTCTGCCCGAGTCTCCTGTGCCAGCAGAAAGAGAGGTGAAAGCAGGCATTTCATAGCTCTTTCTCTGTTCCCCTCCTCAGAGCGCTCCCATCAAAAAGCCCAAGCAGACAAGGCACACAGGCCGCCTTTAGACGATTTTTCGGCCGTGTCCAAGGCCGAGAGAGCGCCAGAGCGCTCTGCCCAGCCTCCTGCCTTTGACAAAAAGCGATTGCGAGACTGCTCATCTGAGAGGAGTGAAGGTAGGCCCCCAGGGGCAGGTGTCTCGGGGGGAGCTTGGGCTTTGCTGCATCCCCAGCCTCTCTGCCCCACAGAAGGGGGCACGCACTGCTTCGGGCCGAGCCGCCACCACAGCAACGCCTCGTGTGCTCTAACCTGCTTCTTCCCCAGGGCAGCCCCTCAGAAGGTGCTTCTCTTTCCTGCAAAGTGCTCCTCAGTGCACATGGTCCTTTCCACCGCCACCCCTGGCGTGGGCTGGGTTGTTTTGCTAATGTTGTTGTTCGTTTTCTCCCCCTCCCTGTGCAGTGTTGAAGCACCACACGGACGTCGGCGGCCCGAGCTACGTGTCAGCAGCTGTGACCCCCACCCCTCACAGCCCCATAGCTCGGCAGCTCTCCACCTCCTCCGAGGGCTCTGCTCCCGCCAGCTCTGCTTCCCAGGGCACCTCTGGCACTGCTGTGAGTATCTGCTGCCTTCCCAGGGCTTCTGGGCTCAGTTGCTACACAGATTCTGGGCTGGGAGTGCTCATTGTTCCTCTTGCCGTGCTGGACCCTTTGGTTCAGCTGCTGCTGGGGTTGCTGGGTGGGTGTTGGGTGTGTTGGGTGTGTTGGCTGTGCTGCAATTCCAGGTTCACCATCAGCTCAGCAGCTGCTGGTGAATGTTCCCCTCGGTGTCACCAGGCTGTGAACGGGATTGGGGTCACAGGGCCAGGGCACAGCAGTGGTGGTGGGGATCTTCCACCTGTGCACCATCTCCAGCAGTCTCTGAACTCTGACCATCTTCTGAGACACACTCAGACTGCCACAGTGCTTGAGGGTGACACAGTGTGGGACCTTCATGAGCTCTGTGAATGAGCAGAAACTTCCTCCCACGTCAGCAGAAGCCCTTCAATGAAAGACTGAATTCTGCTGAGCTCACAGGTGTCCCAGTAAGAATTTGGCTTCTGTTTGGCCCCCCCATTTGGTAGTTGGGCCAAAGCCTGAGCTGGATATGACCCAGGGAGAGCAGAGCAGGACTCATTGAGCCCCCTGCTCCAGGCTTGTTGCCATGGGCGCATCTGGGTCCCCACTGGGTTCCTTCACTGCAGAATTCAATTGTTCCATCACCAGCTGTGACATCAGGGTGTCAGAAGAACCCGGTGGTGCTTCAGCTTGAGTGTGCTTGGTGTTTTGGAGGAGAGGACAGCCCATCTCAGCAGCCCTGACACCTCAAGGAGGCCTTTCCTTGGCTCTGCACACCCACCCTGGTTTTCTCTTGCTGCTTTTCCTGCTGTGCTTTCACAAGCTCATTCAGAAATGCCAGATGAAGAGGTTTCCCTCCCTCAGCAAGAGGATTCCAGGCCCTGGGCTCCACACTCTGGCCTCAGGGGTGGAGCTCCTGTGTTCAAGCGTCCCAGGCAGCTGCGGGTCTGTGGGGGCTCCCCAACCACAGGGTCAATCCTTGCTCTGGGCAGCCACACCTTGGGATTTGGGTTTCCTTGCCGTAGATTTTGGGCTGGGAGGAGGACTTGGAGCAAGCAGTAGGAGATCTCTAGTCTGCTGCAAATTGATGTTGGCTCTGCAGTGTCCGTAGGTCAGACGAGGTCACTCTGTCCTCTTCCCATCAATGACTTCCTGTGATGACTTTCCCACGTGCCAGACCCCACATCCCTTTCTCACACGGTTCTCCCTGTTGCAGCAGCCGAGGAGGAGGAGGGGTGAGAGCTCCTTTGACATAAACAACATCGTCATCCCCATGTCCGTGGCTGCCACCACCCGCGTGGAGAAGCTGCAGTACAAGGAGATCCTCACCCCCAGGTACTGCCCCAGAGGGAAAGCACAGTGCTTTGCTTCTTCTTGGGAATAGGGGAAAGGTTGGAAAACTGATCATGCCATTGCTGGAGACTGGCTAAGTTAGGGAGTGTTTTCTCTGAGGGGCCCTTGGCCATAAAAGCCAACTGCTCTGCTCAGTTTAAAGTCAGTCCTGGTTGTCTCCTTGTCTTGCTGCTAAGTCAAAGGTCCCAGTGGTTTCCCTGCTCTGGGTGCCTGGGCTGGGTTAACCTTGCAGTTCTGCCTTTCCCCAACTTCCCTCTGTCTTCCTCCTGCTCAGCTGTGCTCTTCCCTGGCCCATTTCAGCCGGGCAGGAGGGAGCCTGTGGGAGGAAGAGAAGAAAATGCAGCAGCCTCTGCTCTGCTTCCTCTGCCCCTGGGGAGCTCCAGCTGTGCTACCAGACCACCGAGGAGGTCTGGTGCTTCAAACTGAGCCTAAGTGTGTTGCTCCTGATGGCAGGGTGGAATTTTCCCTTTCCCAGAAGCCAGTGTTGGGAGGGGAGGGGGATGTGCAGCTGGTTCTAGGTGTGCCCTGAGTGATGCCCATGGTTGTGTTGCAGCTGGCGTGAAGTTGATATCAGCGCTCTGAAAACCAACCCTGAGGAGGACAACGAGGAGGTAAGAAGGATTTTATTTCCCAGTTAATGTGGGATGAGGCTGGTGGTAAATGAGCAGTGTCTGTGGAGGGAACAGAGGCAGGGACCTCAGCAGGGAACCAACAGCTGGGGTTGGTTTTCCAGGGCTGCCAGAGGTCCAGGAGTGTTTGGACAAGCTCTGGGACACAGGGTGGGATTGTTGGGGTATCTGTGCAGGGCCAGGAGCTGCACTGGATGATGCCCGTGGGTCCCTCCCAACTCAGGACATTCTACAACTCAATGACAAACATTTAAATTCTCACTTTAACTAGTGTTGGCAAAACTGTCCAGAGATGGTTGTTTTACAGAAGAAAGCTCTGACCAAGCCCTCTGCCCTTCCCTTTCCAGGTTGAGGACTTGTCAGATTCAGCGTTTGCTGCTCGGCACGGGAAGTGTGAGGAGATGGAGCGGGCGCGGTGGCTCTGGAGCACGAGTGTCCCCCCTCAGCGCCGGGGCAGCAGGTACAGCCCTGCCCTCCTGCCCTCAGGGCCACATGCCCAGCACTGGGTGCTCACTGGGATTCATACAAATGGTTGAAAGCTGCTGCTGGTGCTGAGAAGTTTGGTGTCACCCAGCTTGAGGAGCCCGTGTGGGAGGGGGCACAGCCTTGCTTAGGTGGGGGTGAAGCCACAGCCCAGTTTGGCTGCAGACAGCTGCACCAAGTGCTTCCTCAAGCATTTCTGCTGCTCCAGAAGTGTGGGAGATGCTGTGCCAGCCCAGAGTCCAGGGAAAGGCACAGGGCTTGCAATGGCATCGTTCTGCAGGATCAGGGACACTGGCACTGGGCACTCAGTTCCCTTCCTGCTGTGTCTTTATGAGTGGATGGGTGTCTAAAACCACCACTGTTTCCAGCTGTTGATCTCACCATAAACCTGCTCAAGAAGAGATTTGCTCTTCTCAGTTCCATCACCAGGCTTTGGTTGCCTGGAGTCACTTTGTTCTGGGGCAGAGCCACAGCTCTGTCCCTGCCCTCAATGCTGCTTTGGTTTCAGTTCCTGCCCTTGTGGGGGTTCCTGCAGGTGCAAACCTGCCCCGTGGCAAACCCCCCTCTGCAGCTGCAGTTCCCAGTGCTCCTGGAGACTGGGATGTTCTGCTGTTTCTTTAGCCCATTTCTTACCTATGAAGTCCTTGATGGCCGCTTGCTGTTGCATTTCATCTTGGAGAGTTGCACGTAGATTTGGGAACTCAGTTATTGTTTCTCTGATTTAGCCTGTGGGTTTTTATCTGGACTCTGTGTCACAGCTCAGACTTCTGTAATTCTTGGTTGAAATCTGAGATCTGATGTCTCAGGGTTTCACTGTGCTCCTCCCACTCCCAGCTGCTGAAATTGCTGCATTTCCAGCAGTGCTGATTCCCTGCACTCAGTCCCTGAGCTGCTGCCGGGGGTCATCTGCTGTGAGGAGGGGGAAACACTTGGAAGTGTTTTGATTCCATAGGGAGCTTCTGATCATGGTGTTTGTGGAGCCCTGGGAGCGTAGGAGATGTGTGGCACACAGAACCTCAGGAGAGCAGCACCAGTGATGCACCCAGACCGTGAAATGGGACAGGGATGGGCCTGGGGGGATTTTATCTCTGGGCTGTGGCATTCCCAGGGCAAAAGGATCCTGGGGGGTAGGATCAGGCAGTAGGGGGGAGCATGGCCGGGCTCTCAAACCTGCTCCTGTCTCAGGTCCTACAGATCAACAGACGGACGGACGACGCCCCAGCTGGGGAACCCCTCGACTCCCCAGCCAGCATCCCCTGAGGTGGGCAACTACCACTCCCACTTGGAGCTGTCCCACACCCACTCACCACGCAGCCCCATCAGCCCCGAACTGCTCTGTGCCCCCCTGACCCCCCTGTCCCGGGACTCCCTGCGGCTCCTGTCCAGCGAGGACACGCGGTGCTCCACGCCCGAGGCCGGCCTGGACGAGCAGGTGGGTGCTGGCTGCGGCCAGGGCAGGTGGCACAGGTGTGGGGACGCAAGTGTGACCTTGGTGTGGGGACACGGATGTGGCACCACAGGTGGCCCTGGTGTGGGAACACAAGTGACCCTGGTGTTGGGACACAGGTGTGGTACTGCAGGTCACCCTGGTGTGGGCACGCAGGTGTGGCACTGCAGGTGACCTGGGTGTGGGGACACCGGTGTGACCCTGGTGTGGGGAGGCAGACATGGCACTGCAGGTGACCCTGCTGTGGGGACACAGGTGGTCCTGGTGTGGGCATGCAGGTGTGGCACTGCAGGTCACCCTGGTGTGGGGACACCGGTGTGACCCTCGTGTGGGGAGGCAGACATGGCACCACAGGTGACCCTGGCATGGGGACACAGGTGATCCTGGTGTGGGGAGCAGCCTGGCGGCCGCCTGTGGGCAGTGCTGGAGCGCTGGCCCAGGTGGGATCAGGGCACAGGAAGCACTGCCAGCAGCTGGCTCCGTGTCCTCTCCACATCTGCTGAAGCTTCCCGGACGCTGCTCGGAGCTGGGAACCCGCACCAGGAGCAGCTCCGAGCTCCGGATCCCTGCGGGGAGTGAGGACAGGCAGCTTTTGGAGGATTTTCCGGGGATTTTCCATGACTCCTCTGTCTCTCCCGCAGGCCGTGCAGCCCTGGGAGCGCCGCACCTTCCCGCTCTCGTACGACCCCCGGACGGAGTGCGAGGAGCAGCCCGACCCCCAGGACCGGCTCTCGCGCTGCACCCGCCGCACGTCGGGCAGCAAATCCTCCCGGGAATGCGATGGCACTTCGGCTTCGCCCAGCCTGCCCAGCCTCAAGAGCCGAGCCCTGCTGGCCCCCCCCTCCTCCTCCTCTTCCTCCTCCTCCTCCTCCTCCTCCTCCTCCTCCTCCTGCTCCGCAGTCCTGCGGCCAGCGCACAGATAGAGACACACGGGAGACATGAGCAAACCAACACACAGAACTAACTCTTGGCATTAAAGCTTCCAAAATCTGCGTTTGATATTCAAACATCCTGCCGGGAATTTTCACAGTTTTTAGTGAATTTAAGGAGTTTAGAAACTGTTGTTTTCTTTTTTTTTTTTCTTTTTTTTTTTTTTCTTTTTTTTTTTTTTTTTTCCTCCTCCATGTTTCCTCGTCACATGAATGAGCCCCCAGATTCCTCCCAGCGGAGTGAAGCCTCGGGAGGGGAGCAGCCCACCAGACCCCCTCCCCTTTCCTCCCTCCTTTAGGTGTATAAAACTAGAGCACAGGATTTAGCTGACTAGCAGATTTCGGGGATAGTTTTTCCCACCAAAAGGGTGTCGTTTTCTCTTAACCCACTCCCCCCACCCTGAAAGGTTTTAGTGGAGTGAAATTAGTGGTGAAAAGTGATGTCTTGGGATTGCAACCTTCACTGTCTGGCTGTCCTCACCTGCAGAGTGCCCACCTGCACTTCACCCTCCTGCGTTTTCCTGCCCAGGTTGTAGTTCCAGGGATCCAAAGGGGGGGTTGTGTCCCTCCCTGGTCCTCGCTCTGCCCCTGGGGACTCCTCTCCCTTCCTTCTCCCCTGGTTTGGAGCAGCCTGGCTCTGGCTGCATTCCTGGCAGGGGGAGAGGAGGGACCTTGTGGCTGCTCCACACTCAGCGTGGCAGGGGTGGGAGTTGGGAAGCACCTTGTGCACACCGGGTGTGTGGCGAGGGCAGGGAGGGGAAGAGCCCCCGATGCTTTGAGCAGGAGCAGAATTCCCGGAGCACTTGGATGATGCCCTTTGGGGTGAGGCTGTTCAGCTGGGGCTGGGGGAGCTGTGAGCGAGGCCGGGCCGGGGGTCCCACAGGCAGGTGGGTTTGTGTCAGACAAGAGAGGGAAGGATGGAGGCAGCTCCTGGTGGGGGATCGGGGTCACCACAGCTTCGCTCCACTCCCGCACCGTCCCAGCTCCGGTGCCGGTTCCGTTTCATTTCGGGGCGCCCGCCGTGCCCCCTCCTGACAGGTCTTTGAGTTTGAGCCCAGTTCGTTGTTCCTCCCCGTCCCCTCCCGCCCGGTTCCGCACCCGCAGCGATCCCGGACCCCGCACACCGTCCCCATGTCACACTTCCCGCTCCCGACGGTGTGGCTCCTGGGCCCTGTCCTGTTGCTAGCATTGTGCCTGTCTTATGTATAATCACATCACCAAAAAAAAAAAAAAAAACGGGAAAAAAAAAATACAAAGGACTTTTTTTTTTTTTTTTTTTTTTCCATTTTGTAATCGTAAAGAAATAGTCGCTGAACTGCTTCATGGTCGGGGTTTTCACAATTTTCAACATGATCTCGTGGTTTTGGTTCTGTTCTAGTTTAAAGGATCCGTCATCGTTTCTTTAAAACAAAAACCCAACAAACAACGGCGCTACCATATCCCTCTGCAGAAGTGCTTTTCTATTTATAAGGTTGAAAATTCTGAATAACCCTTTTAGCATTATAAAAACCACACAAAAAAAAAACCCACCTTGTATTTTGTAAATATTTTCTTTTCCTGCTTTGAGCTGTGTAATGTCCTTGTTATATAGAAATGCTTTTCTTCCGAGAAGCTGATCTTTGTTAATGTCTTGATTCTGTTGGCAAAGCACAAATGTGCTTATAAAAAAAAAAAAAAGAAGAAAAGATTAAAAAAAAAATTAAAATGTAATATTCCATTTGATGAGTGTGAAACGCTGGGCTGGGACAGGGAAGGGGCCCTCAGTGCACTCAGATCAACTGCTTCCCTCCTGCGTTTCAGTGGCCTCTTTTTTGCTGTGTGATGTTGTTTTACAATCCTGGGATTGGGAGTTATTTTACATTTCTGGGGTTAACTGAGTGCTGCTGGTTCTCATCCAGGGAAGCACTGTTATGTCCTTTCTGGCTCCAGCAGGCAGAAGTGTGGGAGCTTAAAAAGTAAAGAATTGGAACCCAGTCCCTGCCCCTGTCGATGATTCTGTGGATGGATCCCCCACCCCACATCCCCCCATGCAAAAGAGGTGCCAGTTACCATTATCGTAGTAATGACTTTATTTCCAAATTCACTTTTACGGCAACAGTGTAAACCAGTTGTTAAACACACGATACACTATGGACACCCACAGACAGAAGCTAAGCTAGAATGATACACTGAGATCAAACCTTCCCTCCCCTCCCCGGCGCGGCGCGGGGGGCACGGGGCTGCCAACGCCACACAGGCTGGCACCGACCTTGGCTAACACGCAGAATCTTTTGGAGTGCAGAAATACGATTTTGTTTTGTTTTGTTTTGTTTTAAATCAGTGCCGGTTTTAACCCTTTTCAGACCCAAGATGTGTGTGGAGTAAAGGAAAAGCCGGGGGTCGGGTTGTGTCCGGCTGCTCACCGGAGCCTCGGGCCTGGGTCTGAAGGCAGGGTTGGGGCAGGGGACGTGGCTCGGGCTGCTGGAGGGGACAGCGGGTGACGTGGTGGCTGTAAAGGGCTGTCCTGGCTCCCCAGAGCCCCCGGCGGGGACACGAGCGGGGCTGAGGACACTCAGAGTGGGAAGGGGCTGCTCACTGCACACCGAGGCCATCCCAGCCTGGGTGCTGGTGTCCCTCAGGGGCTGCACGGAGGGGACAGGGGTGGCACAGGACGGGCGAGCTCAGCTACCCCGTCCTGCAGCCCAGAGGGGTAAGGAGGTGATGCTTTGAGGGTTCTCCCAACTTGCTCGTTCTACAAAGGACAAAAAGCGCGGCGGCTCCTACAGCGCTACAGAGTCAGGGACGGAGCACAGAGTCTTACAATCATGGAGTCAAGTGAACGGAGCGAGTGACAAGCTGGACACGATGGTGCTGCTGGACCAGCCTCTCCCCAGCAACAAAGCAGCTCGTGGGGCTGCACAGAGAAGGGTTGGACCCCCCAGACCATCTCCATCCACAGCCAGGCCTGTGGGAGCCCAGCCCTGCAGAGGGACAGGGGCAACAGGGGGTTCACAGCTCCCACAGGTCCTGTCCGGGGAGGAATTGCTGCTCTGCCCAGACACAGCTGCTCTGGCAGCCTCGGTGGCACCCAGCCACCACCCCAAGGACAACCAGGGGCCCTGACCCCCCGCCAGCCCAGTCGGACCAGGATTGCAGCCCCTGCTGGGAAAGCACGGCTTTCCCTGCAGCGCAGCCCGGGGGTGCAGAGCCCCCTCTGCCCTCCCAGCTCCAGCTGAACCCCCAGAGCTCGGCTGGGGCCCCCGGGGGAGACAGGGCAGGAGGACACACAGCTGCTCTGGTGGCATCTCGGCCTCTTTGGTTGTAGAGGGAAGGGGCAGGCAGGGACAGCCACGGGACCCCCTCGTGCTCCCAGGGAGCCACAGCAACAGGAGCAGCCAAAGGAATAACTCGAGTGGCTCCTGTCCCCGAGTGTGCTGGGGCGGTCAGTGCTGTGCGAGGGGTGAGATGCTGCCAACTCGCACCGGGGAGCGCCCGCAAAGGGGCTTCAGTGCCAGGGAGCAGCCGCTGGCCCCGGGCTGGGGCAGCTGCTGCCGCCTCCCCCGCGTCCTGCCGGGGTCTCACCGCTGCCACCGGCACAGCAGAGCCATGGAGCTGCCACCTCCGCCATCGCTGAGCTGACCTTGCAGGGAAAGAAAAAGAACAACCCAAAAATGTCACAAGCTGCACCCAAATCCAGGAGCCATCCCAGCCCTGGCGCTGTGGGTGCCCCTCCTCCGGCAGACATGCGGTGCCGGGCTCCTCCTGCGGCACCGGGGCTGGGCACGGCCGGAGCCGGCGCGGGGCAGCTCAAAACTACTTACAGCATTTATTTTTCAAACACATGCTCGTTTATGAAAACAATCACCCTGGCACGGTCCAAGCATATACAGACAAATCTACTCTACGACACGAGGGGCTGCCAAAGGAATGGGGAAAAGCCTCTACTCATCCACTCAGCGGTTCCAGCACAGCCACGGAGAGGGGAACGGCCGCCCGGGGCCCCTCGGAGCGGGCACCCGGCCTCGCCGGGACTCCAGCTGCCGGAGCTGAGAGCGGGTTAGGGGGTACCTGGCCGTTATCTTCATACACATCTCGGCTTTCGGAAATAAAAACAAAAGGTTTCTTCCAAATCAGCAGGCAAATTTAACGCGGGCAGCAGGCAGGGAGGGAGGGCGCCTCCCCGCAGCCCTGGCCAGCGGCAGGACACGGGCTGGGCCGGGTCACAGCCCCGTCCCGGGAGCGCCACCCGCTGCCCCGGGCTGCGGCGGGGGCCGTGCTGTGGCCGCCCCTCGGGCCCCCTCCCGCCTCGCCGGGGCCCCGGGCAGGGCTGGGACAGCGAGGGCAGGAGCGGGGGCAGCGCGGGGACGCGACGGGACGGGCTGTGCGCTCCGAGGAGCAGGGGGAGAGGAGGTTTTGTACCTCATAGTGTCACTGATTTTGAAGTCCTGGAGCTAGAGCTGAATGAACAGTAAAAGCAGGTTAAATCATTAACCAGTTAGGGACGGGGAAGCAGCTGTAAAAGGAACAGAGGAAGAAGGCCAGATTATTATTTTTGTTTCTTTTCTTTTTCGTTTCCTTTCCTTGTCTTCTCTCCTGGTGGCCGCCGCGCCGCGATCACAAGCCCTGCTTGGCCAGCGAGGCGGACACCTCGTCGGCTAGCGTGGCCAGCTGGGGGGAGTCCACCAGGTTGATGCTGCCGGTGGAGGAGACGTTGCTAAGGCGGCGCGGGGAGGCATCTCCGGAGATGGTCGGGGACTTGTAGACGATTTCGGCGCCGTGGTCGGTCTTGGCTTTGGCGTTCTCGCGGAAGGTCAGCTTGTGAGTCTCAATCTGTGAGGGAGAGGAGGGCGGTCAGGGGCATGGCCAGGGGACAGGGGGACCTGCCAGGTGTGCACACAGACACGGTGCTGAGAGGGGGCAGCAGAGCTCAGTGTCCCCAGTGCCCCAGGCCTCGGTGTGGCACCAGAGGGGACAGCAGGACCTGAGCACCTGGATGCTGCCAAATCCTCCCCAGGACAGCGGGACCTGAGCACCCGGATGCTGCCAAATCCTCCTCAGGACAGCAGGACCTGAGCACCTGGATGCTGCCAAATCCTCCCCAGGCAAGGTCCTGGCTCCAGAGGGCACAACCTGGGCTGCTCCCACTCCCCTGGCAGAGATCATGGGGGCACACGGCACGTGAAGCTTCCCCTCAGCCCACGGAGCTGCTCCCAGGAGCCAAACCCCTCTCCCGCTGAACTGGATCTGCTTTGCTACTTACAGGTGCCCTCCCCAGCCGAGTGCAAGGCTGGGGGCTGGCTCTCCATGGGGCTCAGTGGCTCCAGCACCAGGGCCTGGAGCCCAGCGGGGTCTGGGCTCGGGGTCCAGGTCTTGTCTTCCTTGCCTTTCTCTCTCTATAGGTGAAGAAACCCACCCAGGGCAGTGGGGGGCAAAAAATGCATCAGCGACAAAAACCATGATCCAAGAAATGCCAGCCAGAAGGAAAAAGACAAAAAAATATAGAAAAGAAATAGAAAACTGGGGAGAAGAAGATCTGAAAAACAGGGCCATTCACTGACTCATAGAAAGAAGAGTGGCTGCATTTGGAGCCAGGGAGGAAAACTCCAGGAACAGCAGAGGAGAGCACAGGGACTTGGGCAGAGCACAGAGCACCCAGCTCCCCACGGCACACCCAGCACAGGAACCAGAGCTCAGCCCAAAGAGCTGTGGACTGTGAGTCCCAGCGTGGATCTGTGTGTCACAGAGCAAGGAGGGACCTGGGGACATGGGCAAGGGGCAGCAGAGCTGCACCTGGACTCAGTCACACCCAGAACCTCCTCCAGGTTTAGGCAGGGGAGGAGCAGCCACCAGGCTGGAAAGCTGAGGTGGTGATGCCACTGCTGGGTCAAAGCCTGGCAGAGAAACTCCCCTGCAGAGGGCAAGTTCTTCAAACCGTGGCCCAGTGAATGTGCCAGGACGTGACAGAGGCATCACTGGATCACAAAACCGATGCAAAAGGCTCAGTGAGGCACAGGGGAGCTGATGCACGGCAGAGAGAAGGGTAAGGAAGTCAAGCGGTCCCGCAGTCAGAGGCCAGCTGGAGGTGAGAGCTGGAGCTGCACAGAGAACACGTGGCCAAGAACAAAGTGCCAAAATACAGGAGCTGAAACAGAACCTTCCCCTCCCATGGAGACAAGAGTGCTGCAAAAACAAGCAAGACAAAACCCGCTTTTCCCCGGGGAAGCTGAACCCTGCGTGTGGCCAGGCTGGATCTCAGCTCTGTGCTCACCTGATGTCCTCACCCCCTGGCTGCTGGGGACTCGGTGGCCTTGAAGCCAGGCTGTGGGGCTGCTTTGCTTGGCCAAGACTCACTGAAGTCACCATCAAAGCCTGGGTGGGAACAGCCCAGCCCCAGCTCACCTCCCTGACCCGAGTGCCTTTTGTCTCTCAATTTAATCCCCCAGACACTCCCCTCCCTTCACAGAGCCCTGGGTCAGGAGGGAGAAATCACCTCCTGAAGGGCCAGTTTGCTGCAAAGTCACCTGCTCTAAGTAAAGCTGAGCCTTTAATGCCCCACTTTCGCTGGGGACCCAGCACCTCTGCAGCTGCCAGCTCTGTGTCACAGCAGCACAGCACGGGGCTGGCTGATGGTGACACTTGGTGGGAAGGGTTTGAGACGCAAAAATACTTCAGAGGCAGCAGAGAGAGCAGGAAAGCACAGCAGAGGCTGTCCCTGGCTGGTGCTCACTCAGGGGCCATCATGGGCAGTGCCACCTCTCTGTCCCCTGTCCCCTCACACCCACAGCAGCACACACCTGTCCCCAGGGCCCCCTTTACCTTTTTATTGCCTCCTCCAGGGACGTGGCTGATGTTATCTAGGGACCCGATTTTCGACTGCACCTTATCTTTGAAGTCCAGTTTCTCAGATTTCACCTCCACCTGGCCACCACCTGCAGGAGAGGGGTGGGAGGTGGCTCAGGAGCTGGGGCAGCACCCAGCACCGCAGGGCTCACTGGGGGGCTCCATTCACTGCCCCCCTCACCCCCTGTGCCCCTGCCCAGCCCTGTGCCCCTCTCACACCCCCCTGAGCCCCAGGGGTACCTGGTTTGTGGTGGATGTTGCCCAGGGAACCACATTTGGATGTCACATGGCTCAGGTCCACTGGCTTGTAAACGATTTGCACCTGCCCGTGGGAGAGAGGAGAAGGGGATGAGCTGGTGGCCAGCACGGGCAGCTGGGGAGGGGGAGCACAACACACAGCAGCACCTGAGCTGGATTGGAGGGAAAGGACAGCTCCAGCCCCGGGAGGATTAATGACACCAAAGAAACTGCCATCAGAAATGGGAGATCATTAATGCCCGTGTGCAGGAGCCTCTTAACATGTCAGCATGCACGACATCACCTCTCCACAGAGGGGGAGTAGAGGCAATTTTTAAGTGCTCGAAGTGAGAGAGAAAGTGGAGTGGTAATTAATTTAAGATTTGCATACACATCATCCAAAAGGAGGAGATATACCAGAGAGAAAAACGTAAAAAATAAATACCTTTTCTGGTGTAAAACATAAAGCTTATGTCCACAAAAACTGAAAGAACAGAAATGATCAATGTGCACAGAACTTTCAAAAGAGTGACCAAAATATGCATTTCTGAAAAATGCTGTAATGGAAATAAGGGTTAAAAGAATAAAAAAAAAAAAAAGCAAAGCAAAATCTAAATATCTGGAGTTGACATCATAGAAATCAAAATGGCAATTATAAAGTATTGAACCCCAACAGCATTTTGTGACATTCAAGCCCTGCTTTGCTGTGCTTTGCCCACGATGTCTCTGAGTTGGGCTCCAGCATTGCAGGGATCCCCCCCCCGTCCCCAGAGCGCTGGTGGCACGGACAGGGGGACACGGGACAGACACAGGGACAGCGCGGGGCTGCAGGGCCGGGCAGCAGCCACACAGCAGGGAGGAGCCTCGGGGCAGGCACACGCACGGCAGCAGCAGGAGACAAGGGGCACAAAACACCCCCGGAGCCCCCCAGGTCACCCTGGGGCCTGGTGGGGGCTCCCCCAGCCCTGAGGGGCAGCTGCTGCTGGGTGAGTGGGGCTGGGCAGGAGAAATGGCACCATCCACACCTCAGGGTGGCTCTGGGGACAGCCTGGCCTTCCCAGGGAGCATCTGCTGCTCTCTGTGCTCCCCAGCAGTGTGATGCCCTCAGCAGCCCCAGCAGGATGGGCCAGCACCAAAAGGAGATGTGAATGAAAGGAGCTGCTCCTCCCAGCAGCTCCCAGACCAGCACCAGGATCCACTGCAGCCTCTGCTCCCCATCCCAGCACCAAAGCCCCAGGGGAAGGTGCATCCTGCAGTTCTCACCCGGCCCCAGCACCCTCAGTGATTGCCACAGCCCTGAGCAACAGCCCCGAGCCCAGCCTGGAGCCAGGAACAGGAGCAAGAGCCCCAGGCACAGAGCCCTGCTGCCCTGCCTTGTCTCTGCTGCTCACACAGACCAAAGGGCACGTTTGACAGGAGACAGAGAGGGAGGAAAGCAACCCCTCAGGGTCTGGGAGCACACCGTGACACAGACAAAGTGGGGACAGCGCAGGGAAAGGTCACGAGTTTGATGCACTTGGGCAGGAGAGGAGCTGGATTTGGTTGGGAAGCAGGAAACAGACCCAAAAAGGGCAGCTGGGGCCTTTCTAATCCCAGCTGTGACCCTGAAGGGTCTCTCAGCAATTCAGGCACCACTGAGACCTGGGACTGAAAGTCCTCTCGTTTCCAGAACAAGCAGTCAGCAATGAATGGAACTTTGTGCCCTCATTCCCAGTCCCTTTTGTGACAGACAGGACTCTGTCATCCCTTCCCATCCTGCTGGGGAGCAGAGAAGGATCCTCCCCGTTTTAGCAAGAAAGGAGAAGGAGAACAGAGCTGTTTGCCTGGGAAAGCAGTGCCAGAGACCTGGGGATGCCACCCTCAGCACCAGCAACGCCAACTCCTGCCTGGGGCATGCCCTGGGCAGAGCACCCACAGCTTCAAAGCCCAGGCACCAAGGCCAGGGAAGCAGGGATGGCTGGGCAGGGGCTGTGCCGTGGGTTTCAGGCCCTGGGGTCTCTTGTTGCCCCCTCCCAAGGAGCCCCAGCACAGCCTGGCACTGCCCCTGCTGCTCCCAGGGCTGCTGCAGCCACATCAAACAGAGCCCGTGGGGTTTTCAGCTCTGGCAGGGCCTGGGGAGGGATCTCAGCCCCCAGATGAAAATCCAGGTAATTCTCAACCCACAGCAGCTGCAAAGGCCCAGGGTGTGAGCTCTGTGGAGGAGGGACCAGCTCATCACCAGCCTCAGCAATGGGGGTTCGTGGCCAGCACCAGCTCCTGGCCCAGCTCACCCTGGGCAGCCCAGAGCAAGGAACAGGAACAGCCATGGCGCTGCTTCACGGGGCTCTGAGCTCTGCACAGCAGCTCCTCTGGCCTGGGAAGGGGCTGCAGAGTGACCCCAAATTTAAGCCAGAGGTTGCAAATCCAGCTGTGTCCCTGTGTTCCCCTGCCAAGCCTTCTGCAAGGCTCAGCTTCTCAGGGAGGGCGTCCACAGAGATCAAGGAAAACCCATGGGGAACATCTCAGAGCAGGCCCCACAAGCCCCAGTGACACAGCCTGGGGCCTCAGGGATGCGCCTTCCTCGGCCCAGCATCTTTCCTGGACCCAAACTGTAAAACCCACCGACCTCTGTGGAGTTTCTCCAGGTTTCTGGCACAGAAACTGAAAGCTGAGTCTGGTATTTATGTGGGAGCAGCTGGAAATGCCAGTGCTCAAATCAATTAGCTCAACAATACTTCAGGCTCAGCCCCCGTGGGCGCTGCTGGACACATTCATTAGCAAGGAGAAACTCAATATTTGCATGGATCATACTTGCCTGATGGGAACGGGCACGTTCACATGTTGGGCAGGATCATGTCCAATTTAGCAGCACATTGAGCAATGAGGACTGGGTCTGCTCATAAACCCACCCATCTCCTGCATCACCCAGTGCCAAGGGCCCATCCCACAGCCCAGGAGGCTTCCAGGCAGTGCAGAGCCCTGGGGTTACTGGGATCTTTGGTTACAGACGTGGTTTGGACACGGGGCAGTTAGTTCTGTCCATGGCAGGCATGTCCAGGACTCGTTAGGGTTCATTTTTGGGTTAAGGGGTTAAATGACAGCACGTCCCCAATGGCTATGCGACAGCAGCGTGGCTGCAGATAGCATTGGTGATTAGTGTAACAACATGCCACTAAAATCAGGATTATTACAGAGCATTCAAAGTGTGAAGGTACTCACACTGCCTCCGCCCGGGATGTGTTTGATATTATCCTTTGAGCCACACCTGGATTGAACGCTGCTAAAGTCCAGCTTCTTATTAATTATCTGCACCTTTGGTAGCCAGAAAAGAGTCATTGCACGTCACCAATAGCTATCTGCTGGCAGGGACACTGCAGATAGCATTGGCAGTTCAGTGTACACAACATGCCAGTTATCATCAGCACTAAGATAGAGCATTGAAAGTGTGAAGGTACTCACACTGCCTCCGCCCGGGATGTGTTTGATATTATCCTTTGAGCCACACTTGGATTGAACGCTGCTAAAGTCCAGCTTCTTATTAATTATCTGCACCTTTAGTAGCCAGAAAAGAGCGTGAGAAACAACATGACCATCTGCAGCTTGACCATGTGTTGTTACAGCCCTAAAACCAGGAACCTGCCTTCCAGCGCCAGCAGCAAAAAGGAAAACCTAAATCCCTGCCTTGCTGCACAGATTTGTCTGTTCCTGGGCTGGAAAGGGAAGGTGGAGGTGGGCAGGTCGTAGCTCGAGACAGGCTGGGGAGTGCTGCAGCCCTGGGTCCCAGGCTAAACACCAGCAAACAGCTCAGCCTGGATCCTTCCACTGAACAGAGCAGGAACTCAGTGGGCAGCACAGCAAACCCACCGGGAGGCAGGGCTGGGGCACCAGCAGGGCCCAGAGACCCCAGCAGGGCCCAGAGACCCCAGCAGCGATCACAGACACCACCAGGGCTCATAGACAGCCCCTGCACAGCCAGTGGAATGACCAGGGATGGAGCTGAGAGAAAAACGCCTGCCCAGCTCCAGCTCCAGCTCCGTGCCAGGTACCACAGTTCCCTTCTGGGCCAGGCACACCCGGCCTTGGGCAAACAGAATTTATCCTGGGGAGCAGGAGCTGAGTGTCCAGCACTGGGAAGGGACACCCAGCTCTGCTCTGCACTCACACTCCCTCCACAGCTGCCAAGAGAAAGCCAAAAATGCTGCCAGGGATGCAGCCCCAGGCCAGGGATGCAGCCCCAGACCAGGGATGCAGCTCCAGGACAAGGATGTAGCCCCAGGACAGGGATGCAGCTCCATGCCAGGGATGCAGCCCCAGGCCAGGGATGCAGCCCCAGGCCAGGGATGCAGCTCCATGCCAGGGATGCAGCCCCAGGCCAGGGATGCAGCTCCATGCCAGGGATGCAGCCCCAGGCCAGGGATGCAGCTCCAGGCCAGGGATGCTGCCCCAGACCAGGGATGCAGCTCCATGCCAGGGATGCAGCTCCAGGCCAGGGATGCAGCCCCAGGCCAGGGATGCAGCTCCAGGACAGGGATGCAGCCCCAGGACAGGGATGCAGCCCCAGGACAGGGATGCAGCCCCAGGACAGGGATGCTGCCCCATCCAAGGGATGCAGCTCCATGCCAGGGATGCAGCTCCAGGACAGGGATGCTGCCCCATCCAAGGGATGCAGCCCCACCCCAGTGCTGTGGCACATTCCTAACACGTCCCTGGTGGGTGGCAGTGGGGCTGGGAAGGGCTGGGGCCACATGGGCACCACTGTTAGGACATTCTGCAGCCCCAGAGCCTTCCCTGCACGCTGCTCTCTGTGCTCACAAAGCTGCCTCCACCCAGGGCTTGTTTCCCCCCAGGCTGTGTCGGGAGCTGCCCTGGAGCCACCTCAGGCACCTGAGCAGCTCCTCCAGACAGCCCCAGGGTGGAGACAACCCCTGCTCCTGCCCCACACAGCCTGGAGTGCCTGCACAGCCCCCACGGGTGCAAATGCAGGTGACAAACCACAGGTCTGAGCCTGTGAGAGTCCCCAGCAGTGTCACCTCCCCGGGCACAGGCACTGCTGGTGGCACCTTCCCCAGGGCTGGGCAGGCTCCTGGGCTCCATCCAGCATGCCAGCCCCAGCCTGCTGTGCCAGGAGAGCTCCCTGCAGCGCCCAGGCTCTCCAGCACGCAGCACCATGGCCGCTGGTGTGTGCCTCCAGCAGGACTGTCCCAGGTCACATCACCCAATCCGCGAATCAGGGCCCAGCTGTGCCAGAGCCACACGGGGTGGTGCAGCCACAGCACGAGGGCTCAGACACGCAGCAGCACAGCAGAGACCTGGCCTGGCTGTTCCTCTGCCTGCCCAGCCTGGGATCTGCACGGAGAGCAGGCTCCAAACCCATTTCTGATCAATGTCTGGGATCAGCCCCTTCTGCTCCAGCTGCAGCCTTTCTGCTGGGAGCACTCTGCAGCATCCCCAGCAGAGCATCCTTTGCAAAGAGCAAAGACTGTCCCAAATTCAGCTGTCCTCACTCTTTCAGCAACAACAACAATCAGAGAAGCAGAGGGGGGGGGGGGGGGGAAAGCAACTTGTAAAAGCTGGATTTAAAAAGAACAAGCAAATAATTTAACTGTTTTCCAGTAAACAAGGGCTCCTTCTAAAATCCCTGGAGAACAGGGTTTGTGGGGGTGGGAAGAAAAACCCATGTCTTGTGCTCAGTGGGCAGGAGGGCTGAGCCCCCCCAAAAAAGGACTCTGTGCTCATGTGCTGCTGTCTCATGACCAAGAGCCCTGCCCAGGCTCCAGAGCCCCCCTGGATGGTGGCACAGAGCCAGTGAATCGCCAGCCACGGTGGGAAATGCCCGGGAAGGCCATGGAGAAGCAGGCTGCCACTTCCCAGGATGCAGAGGAGCCAGCCCAAAGCCTCCCCCCCATGCCAAAGGGGGGCATCCAGAGCCACCGAGGTACCTGCTCACACCAAATGCCATGCACAGCACTCAGGGAGCGTTTGCTGTGGCTCTGCAAGGTCTGCAGCCAGGCAGTGCCACCCCAGGACAGGCAGTGCCACCCCAGGACAGGCAGTGCCACCCTAGAACAGGCAGTGCCACCCTTAGAACAGGCAGTGTCACCCCAGGACAGGCAGTGTCACCCCAGGACAGGCAGTGTCACCCCAGGACAGGCAGTGCCACCCCCAGGACAGGCAGTGCCACCCACAGGACAGGCAGTGCCACCCTTAGGACAGGCAGTGCCACCCCCAGGACAGGCAGTGCCACCCTAGAACAGGCAGTGCCACCCTTAGAACAGGCAGTGCCACCCCAGGACAGGCAGTGCCACCCCAGGACAGGCAGTGTCACCCTAGAACAGGCAGTGCCACCCTTAGGATAGACAGTGCCACCCACAGGACAGGCAGTGTCACCCCAGGACAGGCAGTGCCACCCTTAGGATAGACAGTGCCACCACAGGACAGGCAATGTCACCCTTAGGACAGGCAGTGCCACCCCAGGACAGGCAGCGTCACCCCAGGACAGGCAGTGCCACCCCCAGTACAGGCAGTGCCACCCTTAGGATAGACAGTGCCACCCTTAGGACAGGCAGTGCCACCCCAGGACAGGCAGTGCCACCCTTAGGACAGGCAGTGCCACCCCAGGACAAGCAGTGTCACCCCAGGACAGGCAGTGTCACCCCAGGACAGGCAGTGCCACCCCCAGTACAGGCAGTGCCACCCTTAGGATAGACAGTGCCACCCCAGGACAGGCAGTGCCACCCCAGGACAGGCAGTGTCCCCTGCCAGGCTTGCAGAATTTAAGACCCTCATTCCCAAGCCCAGAGGTCACTTTGCTCATGAAACAACTTTTCTGGGAGTATTGAAAGGACAAAGTGCCACCAGTTCTGGCCGTGCCACCCTGCACTGTGTAGCACCTGGTGGCACAACACAACCCAAAACCTTGCCAGAAGAGCTGGATCCAAAACCCCAACGTGGGCAAAATGCGGGGTCCGAGCCCGAGACCCTCAGAAGGAGCTGACAGACCCTCCTGTGCCCTGCTGCGGGCACAGGGTGGCACTGAGAAACACAGCCCTGACCCTGCCACCCCTCAGGGCTGCAGCTCACAGCCTGCTGGGCACTGGCACCACCAGGGAATGCCATTCCCTCACGAGATCCCCACCATGAGCTCTCCGTGAGCTCAGCAAGGGATTCCAGGCCAAGCTGAGCAAGGAATTCCAACCCCAAAAACCTTCCAGGTGGAGCGGAGCCAGGCTGGAGCCCTGCCCACGCCCGTGCCCAGCGCTGCAGCTCCGGGGAGGCCGTGCCAGCCCAGAGGGAGCCTCCAGCACACGCTGTCCCCCCCAGAGCGGGAGCAGAGCCCGCGTTCTTACCTTGCCGCCTCCGGGCTGGTGCTTCAGGTTGTCGGTGGAGCCGATTTTGGACTTGACGTTCTTCAGGTCGGGCATGGGCGCGGCGGCGGGCGGGACGCGGGTCTTGGCGGAGGCCGGCGACTTGGGGGGCGTGCGGACCACCGCCACCTTCTTGGGCTCCCTGGCTGGTGGGGTGGGCAGAGAGGGGGTGCGGGAACGGCTGCCCGGAGTCCCGGGGGAGCCGGGGCTGCTGTAACCGCTTCTGTCTCCGGACTTGGGCTGCTCACCTGCGGTTTGCACAGAGCACGGCCCCGGTCAGGACCCCTCCCCTGCTGCCCCTGGGGGCTGCTCTGCCTCGTCCCAGAGCCCACCCAACAGCCCAGCGAAGGGGGGGAGGCTGCTGGCTGCGCTCTCTGCTAGTCCGCTTTGAAGGCAAAAAAACTGCGGTTCAAAGGCAATTTCCTAATTATCCCAGAAGGAAGATGGTCTCCACCGCCTGGATCGTCAGTAAGACTCCCCACCCGAGCGTGGCACGGTGAATTACAGAGAAAAGACGCTCAGAACCACTTTTCTCTCAGAAATTTGGAAGCGCTTTCACAAAATTATGTTCTGCAATTAACTAAGGCCGATCGCTGAGCAGCTTAGCACTGTCCCCAGTTTGAAAAGGAAATGAAAGAAAAAAAGAAGACCCTTAAACATCACCTTTCTCAGTCTTTGCTGCTGCAGGAGGTGGCTTTTTCTGCTCCTTTCTGCCTGTTTAGTGAATGAGAAAGATGCTTAAACATAATAAAGCTGGAAAATTAATTGATTTAAGGTTTTATGCAGCTCTGGTTAAGTATGAAATATATGTATACATCCAGTGAAATGCACCATTTTAATGGAAATTCACAATGCCTGATGCTTTCTGGGGTTTTCTTCTCTGAGCATAATGGGCTAATCTCCACTCCTGTAATCGAAGAACTGATCCTCTTGCCCCTGCCCTTTGCGAATATCATCAGAGAGAAAACGAGCAGATGGATTAAAAAAAAACGGAGCTGCCTAAATCTTCCAAATTTGAGGAAATCCCACGGGACAAAGCAACTGGCCTCTGCTACACACCGGAGACTGCAGGAGCACAGGCACTGAGGGAGGGCTCAGAGCCCCAGGACAGGGCTGCGTTTGCCACGAACCCCTGGCACTGCCCAGCAGCAGCACCCAGCGCCCAGCACACGCCGCCACCGTCACCTACCGGAGCTGGGAGGGGTCTTGGGGGCCGTGGGGGTCTTGGCCGGGATGCGGGTGGCGTTGGTGGAGTTCCGCTGCGCCTGCCCCGCGCGCGCCGCGCCCGTCTTGGAGCCAGCCCGCGCCTCCGGGCCCTGCGGACACAGCGGGGGTCAGGGACAGGGTGGCACCCCTGGGGACACAGCGGGGGTCAGGGACAGGGTGGCACTCGTCAATCAGAGAGCCAGGAACAGGGTGGCACCCCTGGGATCAGAGTCAGGGACAGGGTGGCACCCCTGGGATCAGAGTCAGGGTGTCAGGGACAGGGTGGCACCCCTGGGATCAGTCAGGGACAGGGTGACACCCCTCAATCAGAGAGCCAGGGATGGGCTGGCACCCCTCAGAGAGCCAGGAACAGGGTGGCACCCCTGGGATCAGAGTCAGGGACAGGGTGGCACCCATCAATGAGAGAGCCAGGGATGGGCTGGCACCCCTGGGGACACAGCAGGACGTCAGGGACAGGGTGACACCCCTGGGATCAGAGTCAGGGACAGGGTGACACCCCTCAGTCACACAGTCAGAGACAGGGTAGCACCCCTGGGATCAGAGAGCCAAGGATGGGCTGGCACCCCTCAGAGAGCCAGGGACAGGATGCCATCCCTGGGGACACAGCAGGGCATCAGGGACAGGCTGGCACCCCTGGGATCAGAGAGCCAAGGATGGGCTGGCACCCCTCAGAAAGCCAGGGACAGGATGCCACCCCTCAATCAGAGAGCCAAGGACGGGCTGGCACCCCTCAATCAGAGAGCCAGGGACAGGATGCCATCCCTGGGGACACAGCAGGGCATCAGGAACAGGCTGGCACCGCTCAGTCAGAGAGCCAGGGATGGGCTGGTACCCCTGGGGACACAGCAGGGCGTCAGGGACAGGCTGGCACCCCTGGGATCAGAGAGCCAAGGATGGGCTGGCACCCCTCAGAAAGCCAGGGACAGGATGCCACCCCTCAATCAGAGAGCCAAGGACGGGCTGGCACCCCTCAATCAGAGAGCCAGGGACAGGATGCCATCCCTGGGGACACAGCAGGGCATCAGGAACAGGCTGGCACTGCTCAGTCAGAGAGCCAGGGATGGGCTGGTACCCCTGGGGACACAGCAGGGCGTCAGGGACAGGCTGGCACCCCTCAGAGAGCCAGGGACAGGATGCCATCCCTGGGGACACAGCAGGGCATCAGGGACAGGCTGGCACCCCTGGGATCAGAGAGCCAAGGATGGGCTGGCACCCCTCAGAGAGCCAGGGACAGGATGCCACCCCTCAATCAGAGAGCCAAGGACGGGCTGGCACCCCTCAATCAGAGAGCCAGGGACAGGATGCCATCCCTGGGGACACAGCAGGGCATCAGGAACAGGCTGGCACTGCTCAGTCAGAGAGCCAGGGATGGGCTGGTACCCCTGGGGACACAGCAGGGCGTCAGGGACAGGCTGGCACCCCTCAGAGAGGCAGGGACAGGCTGGCACCCCTCCCACTTTTCCTTGGGATTCCCCACGCCTGGAATGTGCCTGTTCACACCTTGTGTCCCAATTCCACAGGCAGGGCACAGGAAAGGCTGTGACCTTTCCCAGGTGAGCCCTTGGCTTCAGCTATGCCATGCACTGCACCCTCACACCTGGCTTGGCCACACCTCGGCTCTCTGAATTTCATCCTTTGGTTTCCCCCGTTCTGCCAAAATTTTGTACAGAAGATAAATTCTGTATTTATGTATTTATTTATGTAATGTAACGCATGTATGTAAAAATACAGCATCTGTGACTGGCACAGGGTGCCCAGAGCAGCTGTGGCTGCCCCTGGATCTCTGGAAGTGCCCAAGGCCGGGTGGGACAGGGCTTGGAGCACCCTGGGACAGTGGGAGGTGTCCCTGCCATGGCAGGGGTGGCACTGGATGAGATTTAATCTCATTTCTGACCCAAACCATGCCAGGTTCTGTGTGGCCTGCACCCCCTGTGCTTTCCCCATGGGTGTGTTGATGTGCCTGAATGGCACAAAGGGAAAAGCCTCAGGTTCTGTTCACCCTGCAGGATTGGCCATGGAATGTGCAGCACCTGCAGCCCTGGCACAGCTCAAACCCACCTGTGAAACACACACAGAGCTGCCAGACAAGGAGGGGCACAGAGGGACAGGGGAATGGGGGCACACCTGCAGCAAGGAGCCCTTTGTGTGCACCAAACCCGGGTGCAGGGAGCACATTCCCCTCTCCAGGGACAGGGAAGGGCCTGCAGCAGCCAGGAATGCCAGGAACGCCCTCAGGTGCTGCCCTGGCCTCTGTCCCAGCCCAGCCCCTTACCTTGGCTCTGCTTTCCTGGGGGGTGGCAGGACAGGCTCGTTGGGAGGCACTGGCAGGGCTGCAGGGTGGTTTGGAGGCACTGGCAGGGCTGTTGGGTGCTGCTTTCAGAGGGGCTGCGTGCTGGATGGGGGCAGTGGAGCCACAGGGGTTGGCAGGGCAAGGTGAGGATTTCTTGGAGGTGGAAATGAAATGAAATGAAATTAAATGGGGGAAAAAAAAAACCACCAAAAAACAAAACAAAACAAAAAAACCCAAAAAAAAAAAAAAACACCAAAAAACCAAAAAAAACCAAACAAACAAAAATAAAACACCAAAGGAAAATCAGCATGGCAGGGAAATAAAATGGGATCGGCGACATTAAATGGGATTAGAAGGTGCAATACAGAGCTGGGTGTGGGGTAGGGACTGCCAGGGCCGTACATAGAGAAATAACCAATTTCAGTGTTAGAAAGTGATTCTGTTTCTCATCTTTAACTCTTCACCCGCTGCATTTCCCCTCAGCTTGCCCATTATCCCACCCAGGCACTAACCAGGATAATGGGCAGCTGAGCTAAACCTCCTCCAAATTACCAGTGTGACAGATATTGTTTAACTTCTGGGATTTACCCATTGCTAAACTCTGTTCCTCACCCACAGCACAACACAGCATCTTTTTGGGGTTATCCTGGGCAAGCCAGGAGCTGGATTTGATGATTCCTGTGGATCCCTTCCAACTCAGGATATTCTACAATCTGGATTATTTAATTTAATGTTTTAATTCCATGTTTTGCTCTTTTCACAGTTATGCTTGTCCCCAGTGCAGTTTTGAGCCTGCCCCAAGGTCAGCTGCTGCTTTTCAGCCCTGGGCTGATAAAATGCTTTCTCCAACCTCCCACCCAAGCCCATGAGCCACGTGCTTGATTCAGATTCGGATCATTTCCTCACCCTCAAAGAACCCATGGATTGCACCATCCAAACCCAGGGGAGGGAAGGAAAAATAAAAACAAATTTATTGTTTGAAACAAATGGAAAAATGGAACATAATGGGAAGGTTTCCTGAGAGGCAGGAGGGCAGGAGAGGAGCCAGGACAGGGGCAGGTGTCACCCCTGGTTTTGGTTTTTAGCTTACCTTGGGTTTCTTTTCATCAGCTTCGGTCCCTTCCTTGTCAACACGACCTGACAGATGGAAACACACAGTTACACCTCCTGGGACTGCTCAGAAACTCCAGACCCTGCTGGGGGTGCTCCCTGCCCCTCAATACTGCTCTCAGAGATGTGACAGTGTCACCACCTGCCGCAGAAATCCCTGCACACCACATTGCTCCTGAGCCAGCAGAGGATGCTGCGTTAGTCAGCACTGGGGACCAGACACACCAGGGAGGTTTGTGAGGGAGAATCCCGCCCAGATTTCCACCCAGGATCCATCCAGTCCAGCACAGAAAGTTCCCTTCAACCCTCTGGAACACCCACTTGTTCTAACAATTACATAAACAGGGACCCAAACTGGAGGAAGCCCCGGTGCAGCAGCGCTGTGATCTCGTTTAAGGGGTTCTTCAGTTTGGCAGAGCACTTTTATCCCTGGCTGCTGGTCATTCCCTTCTCTCCTGGCAGGCTGCTCTCTGCCTCCCAGCACCGTGCCCCTTCCACCTGGGTCAGTCTAATTAGGAGATCAGGAATGGGGAGGGGATAAAGTTTGTACTCGGAGGCACTCACAACAAAGCCATTTTCCCCCCATCTTCAACTAATTGGGAGGAGAAGCTGCTGATGTTCTCCCCAGTGCTGGGAAACTCATCCTGGGGGATCAGCCCCTTCCTGATGACATGAATGCTCTTAATCCAGCCCTGACCCCCCCCCCCAAATTCAGCTGAAATGGAGCCAAGCAGCCACCAAGCATCTCTGCCTTTAAGGGAATACCATTAAATAATTCAACTTTTCCTCCTGAATCAGAGGGTGGCTGGCTCTGGGCAGTGCCTCCCCACCCTGCTGTGGTTCCAGGCTCCAGTGCAAGCCATGCCAGTGCCTGCAGCACACGAGGGAAGCTGCACACTGCAGATCCCACAGGGAACAAGGAGAAATGAGTGATGAGCTTTGGCTCCGGGGGAAAAAGCTCCATCCACAATTCCTGCCTGAGCCCCCAAGCCCAGCAGCATAACCCCAGGCCAATGGGAGCAGCCAAGCCAGCCTGTGGGATGTGTGGAGCTGGGGGAAAAGGCAGAGCTGCCCCCAGGACCTGCCCTGGAGAGCCAGGGCTGAGGTACAACAGGTGAGACACCTGCATGTCGTGTCCTGCTGCCCTGGCTCCTCACCACAGCTCACAGCAACCTGCCTTTGGCCACTGAGCTGGGCCCCTGGGACACTCCTGAACCCAGGAGAGGTGGAGGACACCAAGGAAAGGTCCAAGGGATGCTCGAGCACTGAGCGGTGAGCTCAAAGCTCTACCCAAGGCTGCCCTCCCAGCCCAGCCCCACACAGTGTCTCTCAATGCCTCACAGGCAGCTCCTGCCGAGCCCCCAGAGCCAGCACTGAGCTGGCACACCCAGGGACACCCATCCAGGGCTGGGGTGGCAGCAGGATGCTTTGGAAGAGCAATGGACATGCCTGGCAGTGGGAAAAGGCCCTGCTGCCTCCAGCAGCACTCAGCAGCGATATTCAAGGGGAAAGTACAAGAAACAGGAGCAGCGTGGGAGCTTTTCCACGGTTAGACCTGCCATCCTTGCCTGTTTTCCTCCTCCCTCCTCTTTAGGGAAGCCAGTCCCAAGAGTTACTGGAGCAGACATGCAAACCAGATGGCACGTGTCCTGCTGGAACAAGCTGCACACGCCAGGTGAGCCCCACGCCACCGTGCCAGAGCCACGTCCGCGTCCTCCTCTTCTCAGGTGGGACTTAGGGCGCCCACCCAACAGATCCAAGGGAATCAAAACAAAAAACCAGGTGAAAAAAGCATGATTAGGGACACGGCAGCACCATGCAAGGCACGGGGAACCGCAGCACAAGGGGTCTGTCAATCCAGGCCAGGATTGAGTGAGGAGGGAGGGCAGGCAGGGAGCAGCAGCGCTCTGGGTCAGTCACAGCTCCAGGCCAGCTCCAAGCAGCAGCAGCAGCAGCCCCGGTGGCAGCACTGCAGTGCTGGAGCACACACCTTTGAGCAGAGGGACACGGCTGCCCTTGTCCGTGGCAATCCCACCCGGCTTCCTCCGGGGCGGCCGGCGGGCACCCGAGGCTGGCACAGCCTCTCCCAGGGCAGCATCTCCATCCTTCACACCATCCTCTGCCTCAGCAGCGAGTTTGGCTGTTTCCAGCATGGGCCCAGAGTCTTCTCCCTCCTTGGGCTCAGCTTCTTTCTGGGGGGCACTTCCAGAAGGCTCTGGCAGGGGGGTGTCTGCACCTTCTCCCCCCAGCAGCTCTCGCTTCTCCTCTTGGTCCTCTCCTGCTTTATGTGACTCAGCTTCAACCACAAGTGCCTCTCCTGGGGTGTCTCTGAGGACACCTTTGGACTTGTTTTCCCCATCAGATTCTTCACGAGTCTCCTGGGCAGCTGCTGGCCACGAACCCTTTTCAGGTCCCGGAGAAACGCGCTGATCCACGAGGGAAGGCAAACCCTGCCCAGGAGCTTCATCAACATCCCGGTCCTCATCCCTCTGCCGTCCACCAGAACCTTCCTTGATGGTGGCTCTGGCACACAAGGGTCCATCCTTGAGGTCACCTGCGCCTCCTGCTCCTGCCAGGCCCAGCTCTGGCTCTGCACCGCTGCCTCCAGAGCCTTGGTACATGTCCAGGGGGATGGGGATGGTGACCTCGATCCTGGTGGGAGCTGCTGCTGGAGCTTTGGCTTCACGGGGCAGGGGCGGCTGCTGAGGGCCCAGCCCCTGCTCTGGGGGCTGGCTGGCACCTTTCCCTGCCTCTCCCACACGCTCCTGAGGGCCAGGCTGGAGCTTGGCAGAGCCCGGCTCGCCCGGAGCTGGAGACGTGGGGTGTGAAGCATGGGCAAGAAATTAGCACAGGCATGTCAAACATCGCGGAACGGGAGAGATTCAGCATTTCCACTGGCAACCAAGGGTAAAAGCGAGTCCCACCCCCCCACACATTGAACAGAAAACTCACTCCTGGAGTGGCTTTTGCCTTTAGAGAGCTCTGATCCCCACGGGAATCAGGAACAGCACCTGATTCAGGTCCTGTTCAGGTCCAGATCAGACTCCTGCTGGGTTCACCCTGCACTCCTTGAGCTGGTTGAGCTGTAGTGGTTTCCAGAAGACAGGAACATTCCCATTTTCCCTAACACCACCACTGGGCCATCAGTCTGGTGGTCAGTGCCCACCTCTTCTTGCCCCAAGGGCCAGAGCTCTGCCCTCCCTGCTGGCCTCCCCTCCCCTTGGGAGATGCTCAGGCACACCCAGCCCTGGCTTCAGGGCTCAAACCAGCTCTGCTCTGCCCTTGGACCATTCCCACTGCCCAGGAGCTTGGGAAGGGCACTCCCATGCCATGCCAGAGCAGGGCAAGGACTGGGGAGAAGAACGTGGCTGTAGCCACAGGGCCACAGCAGTTTGGGACCCCTGAGAGCTCCAGTGCTGCTGCTCTGCCATCACTTGGGCTGGTGACATTTGAACCCCAGAACCTGAGGCCACAAAGGCAAAGATCTGTCTGATTATCTTTTATTTTCTGGACTGTGTGTCTGGAAGAGGGGATATTCTGTTCTGTCACTGCTCTGTGTGTGACACAGACCTCTACAATCCCACCCAACAACTGCTGCATGAAGCCAGATCTTCCAGTTGAGCTGGAGCTTTCCTGTTGGAAATCCCTCCAGCTGAAGGAAAGATGCCCTGAGCAATGGAGGATTCTCCTGGGTACGTTGCTTTGGAGCCACCAGCCCTGTAAGAATGTGCCTCTTGCATGATGAGCTGGTTCAGCTTCAAGGACTCTTTGTTTGAGCGCTGATCAGGGGCAGAGCCTAAATCAGAGCCCTGAGATCACAACTGTGGCTTTGGCAGATTAACAAACAAGACTGAAACAAGAAAAGATGAAGTCAAGACCAACTTGGTCTTTCATCAGTGTCCTTCCTAATTAAAGAGAATATCACAATTAAGTGAAATAACCACACCAAGACCTTGTATGTGATAGCTGAAAGATGCCAGGACAAGGCAGAAAGGGCTTGGTAAAAACCTGGTGAGAAACAGCACTAAAACCAGGGCAGAGAGAACTTCAACCCCTCCACTAACAATACTGAATTCTTTTTTATAATGGAGCTACTATTTCATATTTAGAAGAGCTGACAGTCCAAAAACCACTGGCCAGGCAAGCAAAGGTTTTATTCTAATTGCAGGGAGCAGAGTGCACAGAATTGTGCTCATCTCTGTGTGGAAAGCAACAACAACCTGAATTCTGCCCTGAGCTGAGAAGGCAAAACCTATTTACTTCTGTAAAAAACATGGATGTCTAAGTGCACTAATGGAGCCATGAAGAGGAAAGACACTGCTCAACTGCATTTGTTGTGTTTGCTGCACAGCAAACTGCTTCACAAAATGGCTTTTGACTAGGATTTTAAGCAGCACAATAAATTAGTGCTGTGGGGTGCAGTGCAGGCAGGACAGAAACAGCACAGGGACTCTCAGCCCCTAAGTCTGCCCCATGGAATCAAACCAGCACTGGGAGCTTTGGGAAAACCAATTTTCCATCAAGTCTGAACTGAGGGGAGTCAAGAGAAACTTTCCAGGTAGCCAAATGGTCTCTGGGTGGTTTTCAGCCCTTCCAAGCAGACACAAAATGAATGCTGTGAGAACAGAACAGAACAGAACAGAACACTCACTGCCCACTAGGCCTGCCTTCCTCACCCACATTCCCCAAGACTGGGATGAGGAGAAAACTCCCTTAATGTTGAAGCCAGGGTATGAGTGAGCAGATTTGAGTCCTGTTTTACTTTAGAAAGTCGCAATAATTAAACAATTTGCTGGTTTCATGTGTGAGCACAGGGCCTGCACTGCCTCTGCTCAATGTGAGCAGCTCCTCTGGCCCCAGCACATCCCAGCTCTGTCCATCAGCTTTCCCAGCCTGGAGAACACCCTGGTTTTACAGCTGGACAAACAAACACCGTGACTTTGACCATCTAAAAGGGAAATGTGGTGTATGAGGAGCTGAAATGAGTATGTTGGAACATACCCCACGTGTGCGTGGCCCTTCTCTGCCAGGAACAGGCAGAACTGCAGAGCAGGGCACAGCATTTCCTCACAGAACAGAACCCCCAAGGCACCACCAACCAGCTGCACACGTGGGCAGCGCCAGCTGGTGCCAGTGGCAGACAATTCACCCACCTTGAGAGGCATCTCCTGCAGCGTGGTCCTCCAGGTTGGGAGTGGCTCCCACGCCCGCCTCCTCAGCTGCTCCCAGGCCGGAGAAAGAAGGGGAAAAACATGATCAAAACAAGAGTTAAGGTTAGCCTGGAGGATGAATGTGCCTGCCTGCTGAGGCTGCCCGGCAGAAGGAGCAGGATCTCTGCTGCACCACAGAAAGGAGCAGGATCTCTGCTGCACCACAGAAAGGAGCAGGATCTCTGCTGTACCACAGAAAGGAAATCTCCCCACACCGACGATGGATCTGGGTAGCTCTGTTCAGCCCCTGCTCTACGGAGCAGAGCAGTGTTTCACCAGCTTCCACATCCTAAATGGCAGGTTAGCACAAGCTCTTCCAGGCAGAAAACAGGCTGTTAAGGAGCAAGGAAACTCGTGGATGCACATCCTCTTCTACCCCCACCTGGCTCTTTCATGGCCAGCAGCACTCCCGTGAATGTCTCTTACCTGAGCTCACCTTCTTGGTGTCTGTGACCCACCTGTGAACCCTGCCAAGGCTGTGTGAGACCAGCAATTCCAAGTCTGACACAAAGCTAGAGAAATCCTGAATTTCAGCACTACAGGTACATCAGAGGAGCATGGTTTTCTTCACAGTGATGGTGGTTTCTCTCCACCAGCATTTTTTCAGTTTATGGCTACTTTCAAACTAGCTTAAACAGTGATATTGGTATGCCACAGTTCTCCAGTCACACTAGCACTTCTTCTGGTTTCTCCATTATTTTCCAAGCAGTTCAGGATACACTGGGACAGTCAGATCTTGCACCAGAGCCCCCGTGTTTCAGCCCAGGGCTCTGCCAGCAGCTCAGGGACTGGATGCAGCACAGAAATTTCACTGCTGTGAGTTTGTTTCAGTGCTTGGCACTGGCAGAAGCCCTTTTCTACCCGCTGCTTTTCTCAGCTCCTGCCTGGTGCTTCCACTGGCTATGGCACAGGGGACGCGTCCTCATTTCTCACACACAGACCTGCCCTCCCAGCTCCTGCTCTCCCACACACAGCACTGCCACGGTCACTCCCTGCTCTGCCTCTGGAAGGCCCCATCCTTCCCTGGAAAACCAGGCCCAGGTGCAGTGAGTGCCCACAGGGCTGAATCAGTCCCTTCACTCCCTCTGCATTACCCTCAACAGCGCTGCTGCAGTGGCCTGGTTTTCACCTGCCACTCCAAAGACACCCGCGGGGCTGGGCAGAGCCCAGGAGCTGCAGGACAGGCACCCAGGGGCTGCTGGCACAGCAACAGCCCAGAACTGCAGGTGGGAGCCTGGAGGTGGGAGCCAGAGCCACCACAGAGCCACCAGGCAGAAGGACGGTCGGATGTGGAGCAGAGGAAGAGAGAAGAAAAGGCTGCGAGCTCCCCGAGGATGGGAAGGCAAGAGGACAGCTCTGAGTGAGGAATGCTCTGCAGAAGAAGGAAGCAGCACCGGGAGCAGGGTCCCTGTGAGAGGTTTGGTGGTGCTGTCTCACAGCACCGACCAGTCCAGCTCTCTGCTCTGCCTGCAGCAAGGGATGAAGCTGCACCTTGGTCTCCCTCACCTGTGGTTCCTTCTGGGATCTCCCCGTGCTGTTCCGCACCACCCTGCTCCTCGTGGTCTCCTTCCTCCACTAAAGGTGCTGTGGCATCTGAAAAACAACACAGCTTTCACACAGCTGCTGGGGGGCAAAGCCCTCTGGAGGCCAGGACGGGCCTGAAGAACTTTGTGCTGCTCAGAGAAGCACTCAGAGCTGGTGGAGGGAACAACTGAGCATGGCACAGCAAAGCCAGAGCCACGGGGACACCGTGAGCTGCCCCCTGGCACACAGTGTGCCACAATGCTCTCCCTAGGCTTCTGAAGGGCTTTTGGCTTTTTTTTGTCCAGAAATCCAGCACTGAGAGCAGCCCCCGGTGCACAGCAATCGTGCATGGAGACACGGCTGGGCTGGAGCAGGACAGAACAGCTCCCCTGACTGCACCAAGCAGCCCAGGGTGGCTGCACCGTGCTCTGGGACACAGGGACACCCAGCTCCACCTGGCTGCTCGTCCTGGCAGCCCCACTCCAACTGGGAAGCAGGATAACATCCCCTCCTGCACCAGATGGGTTCTGCGTCCTGATTTCCTGAGGCACTTTCCCAACAATCACTCAGCCCACGCCTCCAGTGGGACAGGGCTGGAACTGCTCAGCATTTCTGCCCAGCTTTCATTCCTTTCAGAACAATTCTGCCAGCTAAAGCCTCTACCTCACCTCTCCAAAGGCAGATTCTTGGGATTAAAGCAGCAAAAAGTGAAGGTAATTACAACAGCGAGCAAGCCTCTGGAATGAGAGCCTTTCTACCCACGAGGCACTCAGGACCTGGGGAGCACAGTGACACAAAGCTGTGTCACTCCACACAGGACTGCACTGCCAGGGCCTTGCAGAGCCCCTGCAAAGGCTGCCGGACACAAACCACCAGCACCTTCCTGAGAACAATTCACCTCTCTGCTTTCCAGCCCACTCTGCACCTCATCCACCTCCTTCAAACACCACTGGTGATGAGACCAACAAAGGGGATTCTCCTCCTGAGAAACCCCACCAGGACACGGCACAGGGAGTCTGTGGTGAGGTTGACCACGACCCCATCCATGGTGGTTCCCAAGCAGAAAGTCAAAGAGCTCCCACCTTCCGTAGTTGGGGTGCTCTTAGCGTCAGAGGTTTCAGAAACAGGCTCATCCGATCCATCATCGACTGGTATCTGAAGGGGATAGCCTGGAAAACATTCAAATACTTACAACACGTCCTTGGCTATCACCTGGGGCCTGGGGTTACCAACTCTCATTGCCCAGAGCCACAGCTGCAAGAAGCTGCAGCTGGAGAGTGAAAACCACCTGAGCTAAAAGCAAGCAAAGCGTGAAAATGCCAACCAAAAGCACCAGGGTGACCACCAAAAGGAACAAAAGGAAACAAAAGAAAAGCCCGGTGAACCGGGCAGGCAGAAACAGCAAAGCATGGCACAAGCAGGCAAGGAGATCTCAGCAACATAAGGAGGAAAGATGTGCAGCTTCTGAGCCTCTGCTGTCCTCTCCCTCCCTCCCAGAGCAGGCTGAGCCCTGCCAGGACTGCAAACCAGCCCGCGGCTGTGACAGGGCTGGAGCAGGACAACGTTCTGTGCCAAGAAACGGCGGCAAAAGTCCTCTGGAAGAGCAGGGCAAGAGGCACAAGTCTCCCCTCAGCAAGGGTGCGGGCAAATCAAATAATGAGAGCTGGGAAAAGTGATGTGGGGGAAGAAGAAGCGGAATCCCTGTGAGCCTGTGGCGTGTGAGACAAGCTGAGAGGAGCTGTCGGACCGCAGTGCTGCAGAGCCAGGATGAATGGAGGCTCTGGATGCTCTCCAGGACAGAGGCCATCCATTTATCAGGCCAAAGAGGCGTCCAAAGCACCTCAAGAAAAGGAAATTAAGATGATGTTTACATGGAGCGTAGCCAGGAGTGAGTCCCACCAGGTTCGCTGGCAGTGCGGGTTTCCAAGCTCAGCTGTGGAGCACGGTGGAATGAGAAAGGAAAAGCTTCTGAAGGAATGCAGGTCTGAAATATGGTGAGGAGGACTCTGGCATGGCCCCCACTCCCAGAGCTCCCTGCTCAGCTGTCCCCAGATCCCTGTGCAGGTGAGGAAAGCAGGCAGCAAGCTGTGACCCCAAATAAGTGACCCCAAATAAATCACCCCAAATAAAACCAGTGCTGTGTTTCCTGAGCAAACTGAGGAGTGGACACAAGCACACACTCGCAAAGCTGCAGCAGTGGGATCCCCCCTAGGCTGGGCTTGTTCTGCTCCATGGACAGTGAGATCCACGAGCAGCATTCTGCCATCACTGCGCATGTTGGAGCACCTTGTGGGCTCCCTGTGGTGCCCTGGCTGACCCTCAGTGTCCTTCCAAGGTCCCCTCACACCACCAGGGTGTTCTCCCTCTCCCTCCTTGGCCCAGGCAGGTCCTTCAGCACCTCCTGGACGTGCTCACCTGTTGAGAAGTGTTTTTCCTGGCCAGGTGCGTGATCCTCCATCATGGTGGTGTCCTGAGGCTGCTCTGCCACCTCTCAGCAAAGGTACCTGAAAAGGAGAGTGAAAACTGACACCCATTAGGCAAAACCTGACCCAAGAGGAGCCAAGGGAAGGTCTGGGCAGTCCTGCACAAGCAGAAGCACGTGCCAGTCACTGCATCCCTCACAGCACACACAGAGGCAGCTCCTGCCAGCTGCATCCGGGTTCCAGGAGTATTCAAGATGTGCCAAGCAAAACGAGCACCCTGGAGCACCCAGGACGCTGCTCTGGCACAGCTCTGCCCCTGAGAGCAGCAGGCTAAGTGCTGGCTGACTCCTGTGCACGCTCCAAACTCTGCATTTCCCAGTTTAACCGGTCTGCCAAGAGCTGGGTTTGCTGGTGAGGGGCGATGCTGCTGTGGGAGGGAATCCTTCCATCCCTGTGTGCACACCCAGCAGGGACGCACAGCTACCACAACACACCCATCACCTTAAAAACCACCCAAAAGTGACATTTGGGGGGACACCAGGACTGTCCAGGGATGGATTTTGCACTCTTTGAGGAGAGGGGCTCACTCAGCTGTGGCTGTGAGGGGACAGCACAGCCCCTGCTCTAACCCCAAACCCCTCCAGCAGGGCTCAGAGAGCCCCAGCACAGCACAGAGCAAAGCAAACAGGTCAGGGGTGGGAGCAGAAGGTGCCAAACCAGCCCTTTCTCTAAACTGCATCGATCTGCAAAAGGAAATGAAACCTCCAACAACCATTCTCTGCCCCCGGTGCAGGGTGCTCTGTGCCGGATGGACAGACAGAGCTTTTAGCTAAGAGCTGGTTAATTACAGCCATTGGCAGTGATTAATAATCAGCTATTAGAGCGATCACATGCTCAGCAGTGGAGCTCGGGTTTCCAGCAGCAAGGAGGAAACTTGTGGTTTTGTCTGCTGGCAATAAATTAACTGCATGCATGGAACCACACAAGGGCCAGTAACCAGATCTCTCACCCGGCTTTTTTTAAGCCTTAGCAAGATGACTCTGCAATTTAATTACTGCCTTAGACAGCTACAAAGCCATTGGACAGGACTGGAGAACCAAGGCTGCACTGCAATGAAATCACCCATAAAAATGGAGGTATAAAATAAGAAAGAATTAAGGATCTAATTTTTGCTCTAATTGGTGGGCCCTAATTATTTGGACATATGGCTGCCAAGTGCTGAAAGGATCATATTGATTATATCCAGGCCTCATTTTGCTGATGCTTGCTATTATTTACAGCACTGAAATACTAAAATATAGTGTTAAAAAGCAACCTAGGCACAAATCTGAGTGTAAAACACCCAAATTTGCTGTGCTGCATTTAAATGATGCTGTTTCCTTACTCTGCCTCCTCTCCTCACTCCCTCACAGATGTTTTTTGGAGAACAGCACTCAGGTGTCTGCCCACATCTGGTCCTTTCTTGCCTTTCTGGACGATTTCCTGGGGCACCAAGCAGAGGGTGCTGCTTGGGGAAGGTTCATGTGCTGGCTCCAAGGACAGCATCCCCCTGGGGGAAACCTTGCAATTCTCCTGGGCATGCAGGGCTGCAGCCCGGGGGAAACATTGCAATTCTCTATGGCTGCAGCCAGGGGAAAACCTTGCACTTCTCCTGGGCATGCAGGGCTGCAATCTGGGGGGAAACCTTGCACTTTTCCGGGGCATGGAACCTGGGGAAGTCCTTGCACTTCTGGGCATGCAGGGCTGCAGCCCAGGGAAAACATTGCAATTCTCTATGGCTGCAGCCTGGGGATGTCCTTGCATTTCTCCAGGATATGCAGGACTGCAGCCAAGGGAAGTCTTTGCACTTCTGGGCACGCAGAGCTGCAGCCCGAGGAAAACCTTGCACTTCTCCAAGGCATGCAGGGCTGCAATCTGGGGATGTCCTCGCATTTCTCCAGGGCTGCAGCCCGGGGAAAACCTTGCAATTCTCCAGGACCTGCAAGGTGGGGAAGTCCTTGCACCTCTCCTGGGCATGCAGGGCTGCAGCCTGCGGATGCCCTTGCATTTCTGAGCATGCAGGGCTGCAGCCCTGGTGCTGTGGTTCAGCAGAGGCTGCTGTGGGCAGGGCTGGTGTCCCCTGCCTGCCCTGCCCAGCCAGTGCCAGGGCTCTGCAGCACAAAGGAAGGGCCAGGGCAGAGCAGAGCAGCTGGGGATGCTGCTCCCTGCCTGTGCTGCTCAGGGCCAGCCCCCACTCCCACCGTGGCACGGCACAATGCAGCTCGGGAGGATGCTGACATTAATTTTTCAGAGACAATCTGAGAGCAAGAGCTGCCTCCCTGTTACAGGGGGGAAAACACGACTGAGAGCATGCAGGTCCATCACTGAAACACTCAGGGGGCACCTCAAGCCCAGCTGCAGCCCAGGGAACGCCCCAGTGCCCCTTCCTCCAGACACGGAGCCCTGGATGGCTCTGGAGAGCAGAAACATCTGCCAGCAGATGGAGCACAGCATCCTATGCTGCTCCTGAGAGCCCCCCGTGCCCGAGCCACCCTCAGAGGGGAGCAAAACCACCTCCAGCTGGCACAGGAGGGAGGGAAAGCCTCAGCTTGGCCTTGGGTTTTCACTCAGGTAATGAACTCCTATGACCAGAGAGAATTTATATCTTATTAAAATTCTAAATTCCAATTCTCAAAGATGGACTGAAAATTCTGAGAAGAAGCCCACAGTGATAATCCTCTTTGTTTTTCCTTTTGAGTGGGGGAAGGGGAAATCCTTCTCAGAGAAAAACATAACATCAAGGGGAAAAAAAAAATAATTCTAAAATATTCTTAAAAATGTAAAACCAGCCCCGCCTTGAAGCAATGGCTCAGTGATGCATAATTAGAGCAAAGAAAGCTGCACAGAGATAAACTCGAACAGCACCCTCCTCACGGCAGATAAAGCACAAACCCTCCAAAGAACCTTATCCATCCCCAGCAGAACCATTCTCCTTTACCAGGGACACTATCTAAAAAGCAACAGCCCATCCCATAATTAACAGCTCCTCCACACCTCACATTTTCCAGACTTCCTGGCATTGGAAGGGACCTCAAAACCCACCCAGTGCCACCCCTGCCATGGCAGGGACACCTTCCACTGTCCCAGGTGCTCCAGCCTCAATGTCCAGCCTGGCTTTGGGCACTGCCAGGGATGCAGGGGCAGCCACAGCTGTGCCAGGGCCTGTCCATCCTCACAGGGAAGAAAATCCTCCTAATATCCACTCCAAACTGTCCCAGTCTGAATCCATTCCCTTGTCCCATCACTGCAGCTCCTTGGAAATATTTCCCAACATTCCCATTTCCCATAGATGTTGGAAAGCCACAATTAGCTCAGCCCAAAGCTGCTCCTTGTCCCCAGCCCCACATCCAGACTGCAGCAGCAATTCCTGCCCTACAGCAACGAGGCAGCGGGGCTGGGCACAGCCAGGACATCCCAGAAGAGCCCTGGGGAACCCAAAATCCCCACACAAAGCCTCCAGCACCCTCAGAGCCCAAACTCCCAACCCTCGGGCACAAAGTGGAAGGGAGATAAACCCCAGGCTTGCAGACAAGGTGAGCCCAAGGTGCCCCATGGAGGAGAGGGCAGGTCCAGGAGCACCCAATCTGTGCCAGGCACCACCAGCCCTGGCACAGAGGAAGGGGGAACAGCCCCCCAGAGCCCCTCAGTGGGCACAGCACAGGGGACACAGCCGGGACTGTCCCCAAGCAGGGCAGGGACAGTCCCAGGATCACAAGGCTGGAGCAGGGGCTCGATTTACACAGCCCAGCCCAAAATAAACCCGGCCTTGGCAGAGCTGCCTGCGGGTGCTGCGGGGGCCCTGGGGCACAGGGGCAGGAAAATACAGGGAAAGGAAAGGAAAAGGAAAAGAAAATTTCAGCAGCAGGAGGGTGAAACACCCGGGGAGATGCTGGCTGGGATTGCACACTCTGGGACTCACCACTGCCCCACCAAGCAGCTCCACCCCTCATGCAGCCACAAAATACCCTCAAAATAGCCACAAAACACCCTAAAAATATCCACAAAAATACCCACAAAATATCCACAAAATGTCCACAAAATACCCTCAAAACAGCCACAAAACACCCACAAAACACCCTAAAAATATCCACAAAATACCCACAAAATATCCACAAAATGTCCACAAAATACCCTCAAAATACCCAAAAAATACCCTCAAAACACCCAAAAAATACCCACAAAATACCCTCAAAATATCCAAAAAATACCCAAAAAATACCAAAAAAAATACCCACAAAAAACCGACAAAATACCCACAAAACACCCAAGTGATCACCCAGGTAACTCCCAAGCAGCTCCACCCCTCATGGAGCCACAAAATACCCACAAAATACCCACAAAACACCCAAGTGATCACCCAGGTAACTCCCAAGCAGCTCCATCCCTCATGGAGCCACAAAATACCCACAAAATACCCACAAAACACCCAAGTGATCACCCAGGTAACTCCCAAGCCTCTAGGCTATTGTCTCCTGCTCAGCATCTTCCTTCCCCATTATTTAATCAGAAGGGGCACAAAGCACTCGCTCTTGTTGTCAAAAATGAAAATTCAACAAACAGGAGCTAAGCTAAGTTACCTCTGAAAGGTGATCAAACACAAACAGCGCTTTAGAAAAGCTTCATTCCATCCGAATTACATAATTAAAACAGAGTGACAGCACCGTGAAACAACATCAGCCTGAAAGGCTGTTCATAATTCATAAGCAACTTCCTTTTCATCTCCTTTGTGCTCTTCTCCAAGTACTGTTCTTCCCAGAAGCTGACAGAGGAAGGAATATGGACGATGATCTCATTAATTGCAGGCACTAATATGCAGTGAGCTGAGAAATTACATGGAATTTCAGGATATCTACTCAAGAGGATGGAAAACTTCTTTTAGGTTCAAAGGCAAATAATGCCTGTTGGAGAAATAGGACAGAGCTGCGAAAGAAATTGTCTCCAAAATACATGTTTTCTTTTTGCTTTTAATAGTTATTATAGTTTATAGTTATTATAGTTTAAGTATATATATATATATAGTTATATATATAGTTATTTATATA